GATATACATTATCCCATTCTGGGTGTATATTTAACGGAATTTGAAGGGATAGGATTCCAAATGACTTGTCACTTTGAATAGGAAACATATTGATATCGATACTTATATATCGTTTGGTGTATATGTGTGCAACCACTTTCAAAGGAAACAATCTAAGTTTTTTGACGAAGACATTGGGGAATATGTATTTGAAAAACAGAGAAAAAAATCAATCTGAGTAAGTGATTTGCCCCCATATTTTCGGACTTTATGGTTACATGTTCTATATAACATATGAATGTAATGTTGAAATTGACCAGAAATATCTAAATTGGGCGATATGTTACAGTACGTAGATAAGTAAATAACACTCAAAGTTGTTAGGACTTTAGTTAAAGATTATGAAAATGGCAAACACGATAGATCATTCTGATACATACAAACACTGGCATTAAATTTGTCTGCCTGTGCCAACTTATTTCACATGACATCTCGTTTTCATCATACTGGAAGAAGACTGCCGCACGTGCGTGCATTTGAATTTCCTTAGATCGCCTACATGGCTGAATAATCCGTGCCGTTTGTGAAATACAGTGTGTAATTCATATTTTAAAAATAATTATATGATGTTTAACGGTATTAATTACTAAGCATATACAAGGGAAGACAAATGATCTCGTGCAATAAAGCTATTTGTAGTCGTACGTTACAGTTTTACGAGCCTTTACTGCGCATATAACATAGAGCTATCTAGATATACCGACCCTAATATTTATGCGGTATGCCCGACACTACTGTCACTGTCAGTACATATTACGACAAAATAGCTCTGACCTTTTCCTACTGTTCTTTCGACATTTATAATAGTAACAGTTCACTAAAGTAAATTGCTCATTTTTTTTCATTTGAGCGATGGAAATGGAAAATTTTCTTGTCCACAGGTTTTTTGGACTGTCCGGTTATAAAAGCATTGAATTGTGGGAAGAGCCATTCCCCTTTACTGTATAACCCCTTTTGCCCCTTTATCAATATTACATTACGTGCCCTGCGACTGTGTTAGGTGTCTGTGACCACCGTGTTGGAAGGGTTTAACTTTGATATCTCGAAGTCCTTTTTATTCAGTATCAGTTAACATCGAAATCCCGAAGTCGTTTTCTTTTGTCATTTTAGTTTTGTTTGAAATCTCGAAGCTGCTTTTGGTTTGTGTCAGTAGTTCAATTTTTTTTCTTTGCTTTAATGCTATCTCATTGTTACATTGTACAAATACTACATTGTACACCTGTATTGCTAAGATCTGATGCTGATTCAGATGGTCTTTGATTACTAGATAATGCATGCGAATCCAGGGAAACAAATAAACTCCATCTTTTCATATTGCAACATCAAATTGGTGAAGCATTCGGTCTTGTATCTTAAACTGACCAATTTGTACATAGCTAGTGGAACCCGATCGTGTTAGCGCCGTAGATCACATGTCTACGTGGTTTATACAGTGACGATACTACAGTATCAGAACAGACTATTTGATTAGTGTTACTCATTAGTCATTAAGTATAAAATCTAAAAGTATGATACTGGGGCAAACATCGATACACCGTTCGCAGCTATATTCACTGACAACGACTAGACTGAATGAAGTAGAAAGTTGACTTAATTGAAAATTAAGTTGTTTTTACAGGTTTTAGATTGTGATATTACAGAAATAAAAAATGAGAAACATCAACAAATATATATGTTTTAATTGTTCATCTTATATAGAAGATTAAGATATCACTGACACGCTGACAATTTGATTATTATTAGCTAATGTCTGTATTATTATGCAAATTACCTCAATTTAAATAAATTCTGAATACATTATCGAGAGACGGCCTCGTCTGGTATATTTACGTCATAGTCTCGCGCAAATGAAGGTCGTTTTCAATGTCAGTAACATGCACGTAACGGGAAACTACGGACTACAAGGCGATTTAATTTTTGCGCCTAGATTTTTAAACAGAATACGACAGTCATGCAATGACTTTATTTACCAATGTTGACACTCGTGCAGTATAGTAGTAAATCATAAGAATTTGAAGCCTTGATAGTTTGTGTGGGTAGAAAAGGTTTAAGGCTATATGGGAGATGTTTATCGTGAAATATATATATACGGACGTACACATGTATAGAATATACATACATCATTCACACATTTATCAACTCTCATAAATGTTGATCATCTTTATATATAAATATATATTAATATGATATATATGGAATGTCGTTGTGTTTGTCATTTTTTTCCTTCAGAACGTAAATCATGAAAAAATCCGTTACTATCATTACTGCTACCTTTTGTACTTTTGGTCTCGGTACATATATCTATAATTGAAGGTGTCTATCAAAATTTAAATCTGTAATTGCAGATTCCAGTCTGTTAAAGGGACCTATAAATCAAGCATATGGGCATGCATCGATCATTTAAAACTCTATGTTGGTTACAGGTCTGTATGCTTGTTATAGAGGTATAGGTCAATGGGTCAACGTGTGTTACAGGTTCCGGTGTCTGTTAAAGAGGTATAGGCCAAGGGGTCATCGTGTGTTACAGGTTCCGGTGTCTGTTATAGAGGTATAGGTCAAAGGGGTCAACGTTTGTTACAGGTTCCGGAGTCTGTTATAGAACTATAGGTCAAAGGGTCAACGTCTGTTACAGGTTCCGGTGTCTGTTAGAGAGGTATAGGTCAAAGGGTCAATGTGTGTTACAGGTTCCGAAGTCTGTTATAGAGGTATAGGTCAATGGGTCAACGTGTGTTACAGGTTCCGAAATCTGTTATAGAGGTATAGGTCAATGGGTCAATGTGTGTTACAGGTTCCGGTGTCTGTTAAAGAGGTATAGGTCAAGGGGTCAACGTGTGTTACAGGTTCCGAAGTCTGTTATAGAGGTATAGGTCAAGGGGTCAACGTGTGTTACAGGTTCCTGAGTCTGTTATAGAGGTAGAGGTCAAGGGGTCATTGTGTGTTACAGGTTCCGGTATCTGTTATAGAGGTATAGGTCAAGGGGTCAACGTGTGTTACAGGTTCCGGTGTCTGTTATAGAGGTATAGGTCAAGGGGTCAACGTGTGTTACAGGTTCCGGTGTCTGTTATAGAACTATAGGTTAAGAGGTTATCGGTTGCTACTGGTTCTTGTCTGTTATCTGTTATGGGTCAATGTTATAGAGGCCCATGTCATGGAGGTTTCCTTTGATACATGTCTCTGTCTCTGTCCTAAAGGTATAAGTCAGCGGGTTTATTTAAAAAGCCCATGTACAAGTGACAGGCAAACTGAGAGACACGTAAATTACCTCATATCGTGTTCCTTAGTCAGGTTGTTAGAGCAGCATATGTAATGAACACCAAAATAAACACAGAACATTTGACGTCGACGCAATACGTATGTTTTAACAATCCAGTATTGTGGAGGACAGCACAGCACCTACTGTGAGTCAGCCTAACCCTCACATGACAAATGTTGTTTCCAGAGAATTTATATGGTTTTAGAATACAAGGGGAACTGTACTTTTAGACACGTTTAAGATAAAAAAAAAGACAAGAAAAAATTAATTACTTTGAAAATGAAATGATAAAACATATACCATAGTGACGATTGTGTTAATTCTGAGATCAGAGAGTGTGTTGGGACACCTCGATCACTGTGTCTATCATACCTCTCTTGTACTGTTTTTGAGAAAATTATTAATATCTTAACAATTTGTCTTTTGCAGATTTAATTAAACTTCTCTGGGAAATATGAACTTTTTATAGGAAACAAACTCTGTTCGTCATGTGACACATGTGTTGATAAAATTGTTATCAATTGACAAAGAATATATACCAAGCGACTAACCCAACGTGTTCAGTTGTTCATGACTCAACTAACGCACATTTTCTGCTTGGAGCAATGTTAAAGAAAAGTGATAACGCCATCTCCATCTAGTTATCATGACGTCACATCATGCTATACGGCGCGTCACTTCCGCCTTGAAGATTGTTGAAATCCCCTCAAGATATTAGGTTGTATGATCAAATGATTGAAAACATCAAAACAACGTGTCCTTAACACAGAACAGATGTGTGCCTGTACCGTACACCCAACAGCCTCTCTTATACCGTGACTTCACCATCAATACTTCACCAACTAGTATTTAATGTGCGTCAGCATTTACAGTTTTATCGCGTACTGATTGAATGATATAACAGGACCAATATAGAAATCTTATCTATTTTACTTCATAATAGCGTCATATAACAGCATACATCCATCCTTTAGTCTAATTTTGCCATAAAGAGTTATGGTTCTTGATGCTATTGTCGGCAACGTCGAAATAGTTTTGACGTATATTGCTAGTTTGCACTATATCATCATACAGCATTACCGACCTAACATCGATCACAAACGACAATGAAAGAAAACGAGTAGGATGTGTTTATTTTTTCATAGCTAGAAAAAAAGATGGTAAATGGTTTATACATTAATATCATGAATATGTTTTCGCGATCTCGCCTCATTACGATCTTCCATTGCATGTTTCTTTAATCAGTTTTTTAAGCAAGATAATTAGAAATGGCAAAGTTTAAGAAAAATAAAGTTTTATTTTGATAAATAAATATCGTGTTGGCATATTCTGAAGATAGAAACTTTGACACGCATATCGGAAGCATGAGATAGCGTCGACTGCGGGGTCATACCAATATCATTTCATATCATTTTTAAAACCCACATACTGCCTGTTCAGGAATATATTTCCCGTTCTGTATATTGAACACAGACAAGCTTGTTGCGTCAAATATACACGGCAAGCCTGCAAATTGACAATTTCTGTAAAGACTTAATTAAAGAAATGGAAATTATTTCGCTATCCCTCAGATAAAAAAGAATAACACGCATTTTATTCAAATGAAAAATATTGTGCACATGTGGGTATGTTCTAGTTATATGCTATCTAGATTCGAGTACTGATTTCAAACACACATATCAACATAACTATTTTCTTTCTATTTCAGGTTGTGGTTCTGTGCGACAATGAACCGGAAACGAAAGAAGACTCCCAACAAAACTGCCGGAAGTGTAAATCTGGATATTTTGCTATCCTAAAATGTAACGATAAACACGACACCGTATGTGCTGCATGTCCTGAAGACAGTTTCACCTCTAGTCTCAATCTCCAAGAAAAATGCAACCTGTGTTCAACGTGTAGTGATGGGTACTTTGTGATCACACCATGTAGTAAACATACCGACACCGTGTGCGAATCTTGTCTGTCAGTGAAGGACTCAATATTGCCTTCCTTTCAGGAGCGCTGTATAGGAACCGGTGTTTTTTCGCCTCCGGAACCGGAACACAGGGAGACTCTTGTTATACCGGAAGCAGAAGGATCAGCCGACGGAGGCGAGGAAATTTATCTAGGTGCTGAATTTCAAGCTCCTGTATTAGATAATACAGACGAAATATTAAATGCATCACATATAATAAAGGGTGATGAAAACGAAGGAAGCGGAGATGAAGTAGAATTGAATATTGGTGCACAGGAGGAACCAAACATTGAAACCGATTCTACGACAACTTTGTCCCCACAGAAAGATACCACAAATGAGGGCATAGGTAAAAATATTACTCAGAAGTTACAAACCACAACCACACGAGATACGGAACTACCAGACGATGCCGGCTCCGACGAATTCATTCCAATGACAACGACCATTTCAACCTCATCAAGTAAATCGACTAAACCAAATTTAGCTCAAATGACAACGAAGCAGAATGTAGTCACAACTGCTGGATTAATACGTATCGGTGAAGGTATTTTTATCAAGCCGGAAACGGAAGTTGAGTTGACACCAACTAAAGGAAGTGCTGATCCGTACGAAGTTCTGTATACTGCTGCTCCACGACACAAAGATAACCGAGGTAAATTACTTTGTCACATTACTGCACGGTTTTAGGAGACGTTCTCTACGACATTGTCACATTACTGCACGGTTTTAGGAGACGTTCTCCACGACACAAAGATATCCGAGGTAAATTACTTTGTCACATTACTGCACGGGTTTAGGAGACGTTCTCTACGACATTGTCACATTACTGCACGGTTTTAGGAGACGTTCTCCACGACACAAAGATATCCGAGGTAAATTACTTTGTCACATTACTGCACGGGTTTAGGAGACGTTCTCTACGACATTGTCACATTACTGCACGGTTTTAGGAAAATTACTTTGTCACATTACTGCACGGGTTTAGGAGACGTTCTCACAAGACCGAAGGTGATACTGTAAGGTAAACTTAGAATGTCACATCGTAAAAATAACGATAAAAATTCAAGTTGTGATAAAAACATACATATGTCGCAATGTTCAATCTAGTATCAAAAGTCAAACGGAGCTGACATCGAGAGATTATAAAGAGAGTAAAATATAACGATTTTTAGATGTCTTTTGTTTAATCAACTATTATATACCAGTCTCTTTCTCTCGCTTCGACATAAACATAATGAGTATAACCGCATAACTAATGGGGAATTCACCACAGATAGAGAATATATACAAACGACTGAATGGCTTATTGAAGTCAATAATTTTGATAAGAGGCTCAATTTTCTCTGCCATGTGACTTAAAAAGTTCGATAAATAGAATTTCGAAATATACCAAACGTGCAGTGACTCAATCTAAACCACCCAGCACCACTCCCATTGCTCGTAAAGTCATGTCCTTAAGTACTAGGCAAGCAATAACTGTGCCTGTCCGTCATTGCAGTTACATGGAGAAGTCTGCGATAACACCTGTTAACCAGTCAGTATTAATGAACCACGATGTTCTTTCTATAACCTTGATGAATGGGTTAGGAAATAAATTTAGTCGAGTGCTTTGTCAACAAGGGACTTTCGGGAATGGAGTAGAACGTGGTCGCGAAAGGGAAGATCGGGCGATATGGTAATAGTGACTAGGGTAGCTATGAAAGGAGAGCGTGGTTATATGTAAATGGCTACAAAATAAGTGCATGGTTATCTGGAAATAGTGGCCACCAAAAGGGAGTAATGTGATGTGGGAAGGATGGCTTCGAAGCAAGACTTTGTAGTATGGGGGAAATGGCTACCAATGGAGAATATGTGGTTTGTATGGGAATGGAGGGGGTTAAAAGAGAGAAAATGGGTTATATGAGAATGAGAAGGGTGGCAACGAAATGAGAGCATGGTTATGTTGGAAGAGTGACAACGAAATGAGAGCATGGTTATGTGGGAAGTGGGGCAACGAAATGAGAGCATGGTTATGTGGGAAGTGGGGCAACCGATAGGCAGTATGGTTATGTGGGAAAGCTGGCTTTGAAATAAAACCGAGAGGTTTATATGGAAGGGTGGCTACCAAATAAGAGCTTGTTGGTAGGGAAAGAAGGGAGGGTTAGAAAAAGAGATTGTTGTTTATATGTGAAGGGTGACCACGTAAAATATATGTTGTAAGAATGGGAAAGTTGATCTCGTAAAGAGAGTGTGTTGTTTGTTTGGGAAGGGTGGTGACGTAAGAATTGTGTGGTCGTGTAGGAAAATTGGTTATTATAGCGTTATATTTACGTGGCTTCGGAAGGAGGGGTCGGGTTATTATTGGTGGAAGAAGGGTTTCTATAAAACTATGGATAGCTGAATTTAAGGTCGATCTGTCTGAATTTGTATCGGATTTGGGGCTATATATTGATTTCAATATGGCGGGGTTAGGTTGACTGGGGTTGGACGGGAATTGGGGTTGGGATTGTGGGAATATGGGTTTTTGTAAAGTTGTGCATACAGAGGAAAGGGTAAGGTGGGATTATTGCTCAGTCTAGGAGGCCTCGGGGTTCAGAACAGCTGAAGCCTGGGTGTGTCTTGCTCGATCAGGACCAAACTGTATTATGAAAGGCGAGGCCGGAGGTTGAAACTCGCGACTCCGAGAGATTCAGTTCTGGTGGTAGTAATGATGACCTAAACAATCGACCACACCCGACATTGTAGCTGGCTGGTTAGTGTTACTAATGTAAAGAAGAGTACTCCTGACACATCTGTGAATCGTGTTGCCGTGGTGTTCTATTATACCCACATGTTGTTGTAGACAGGTTCAAGTACTATAGTACAGCGGTCTCAATAACACAAAGTCAGATGTATATACTCCTAATGCAGAGATCGGTCGTATACACGAATTCGCAAGTGAATCGGAACCAATTACGGTTAATGAAGCAGATAAGATTACTGTCATTGAACCGGAAACAAAAGAGATGCACGTGCATTGTGATAATTCACACGTGAATGTTTCATGGTATCAAGACATGGTCCCCGTTTCCACGGTACAAGTGCATCTAGTGCACAGGCGCAGACAGACAGCGACACCTAGTTTCTACCAGAACACTTTGAACATAGGTCAAGGTCGCACAGGAAATACTTTCCCACAATTACCTTGACAGTTGACGGCGAGGAAACCAGAGTTAAACGTTTGATAAATTACATTTACTTTACTATTAAATATCAAATTATGTAGGAGGCTTTTATAAGAGATGTTTCACATTAAACTAACCACCTTGTTCGATGTGTAGGTCAGGATTTCACCACTAGATGGCTTGTTGTGTTGTTTCTACTAGGAAACAATAATACCGGCTTTATAGAGGTACACTGTACCTACGCTGTTTGTTCTATAATAATGGCGTATAAACTAGGACTAGTAAAGACAGGATTTTAATCTTGACTTTTATGATTTCACGCAGACTAGATGATAGAGTAAACAGAATACCGAGGGCTAATGTCACATTCGTTTTGATTATGGTAGAGCTTGTAACATCCAACCCAGTCCTGAATCATGTTGTCAAACTCCTCCAATACTGTTATGAGCTTGAAAGGTTATCGCAGTCAATTCAATATTCAGAGATCCTATCACTATCGACTCAATATTAAGAAATCATGTCAAGAATCTATTCAATATTCAAAGAGGTCATCACTGTCGTTTCAATATTCAGAGAGGTTATTACTGTAAATTCAATATTCAGAGAGGTTATCACTGTCGATTCAATATTCAGAGAGGTTATTACTGTAAATTCAATATTCAGAGAGGTTATCACTGTAAATTCAATATTCAGAGAGGTTATCACTGTCGATTCAATATTCAGAGAGGTTATTACTGTAAATTCAATATTCAGAGAGGTTATTACTTTCGATTCAATATTCAGAGAGGTCATTACTTTCGATTCAATATTCAGAGAGGTTATTACTTTCGATTCAATGTTCAGAGAGGTCATTACTTTCGATTCAATATTCAGAGAGGTTTTATCACTGTCGATTCAATGTTCAGAGAGGTTTTATCGCTGTCGATTCAATATTCAGAGAGGTTATCACAGACTCCTTTACAATTTATGCTTTGATCGAAATTCTAAATAAAGGGAGTTAATTGAGATATCAATATAAAACACTTCACAGAAGCAGACAACTGTGATCAGAGTTTCGATAGTCAACCGTAGTTATTTTCTGTCTTACAGTTCATCACCATCACGTAGAGAATAATCTAGACAAGCCTGTCCCTACAGCTGAACAAAAGATCGGAGCCCAAAGTCAACCCAAGGTAATCCTCGGGGTTGTACATCTATACTCATTACCTCGGGAATCTTTACTTTCTGGAAGTTAACCGATACTTTAAACATTGAACTGATCAATAAATATAATCGATCAGTTGTCAATCAGTCATTCTATATAATAATTGTTAAAGGAATCGTTGTTAAAATTAATTATTACCCCATTCTCTTTGATTATTGTGTGTGTTTAATTCTTCCCTTAGCTGGTGTTAGTCCTTCCCTTGTCGTGTTTCAATGATTCATTCCCCTTTAGCCTCCCTTTTCTATTTCCATACGCCCTATTTCTCCGTATTTCTGTCACTTTATCCTGGGCCATGGAGTTTGTGCTACTCTTCGCCTAACTCGTTCCTTGACCTTCATGTTAGTTTCTATGAGTCGTCTCCTTATCTCCATGTTACCAGGTCTTTTTGTTTTCATATTTTCTTGACTCATACTTTACTGTTTCTATAACTTGCTCCCTGACCACCATATGTCCCTTTGTTTCTGTGACTCGTTCCCATACCTCGTTATTTCTATTACTCGCTCCCTGACCTCCTGAGGTCCCTTTGTTTCTGTGACTCGTTACCTGGCCCCTATGTCTCTGTGACATGTCCCTGGCTCCTTTGTTTCTATGACTCGTTCTCAAACTTTACTGTTTCTATAACTTGCTCCCTGACCACCATATGTCCCTTTGTTTCTGTGACTCGTTCCCAGACCTCGTTGTTTCTATAACTCGCTCCCTGACCACCATATGTCCCTTTGTTTCTGTGACTCGTTCCCAGACCTCCATGTTCCCTGGTCCCTATGTTTCTGTTTCTTGTCCCTGGCTCCTTTGTTTCTATGACTTGGTTATTGACTTCGGGTTTGTGTATTTACAGACAGAAGACGCCAGTAAGGTGACTATTGGTGTTGTGATCGCTGTGGCGGTTGCAGCCGCCTTCGTTTTCTTCATCCTCGGATTCATTGTCAGCGTTCGTTGCCGTCGGTCGCGAGAGAAGTTCCAAGTGATGAAGGTAGGAAAAAATGGCTTACATCTCCACCAACCTCTGATATCAGTCACTTTTGTCAGTTGTTGTGTGATGAGCTTACAACTTAGTTATTATACGACTATCATTTTTTTCTATTCGGTGATTATTCTAATCACCCCTCTAATAGGTTTAGATGTAATGATATATAGAAACAGTTCTCAGTTCCGGCCTCGGTTAATATCATTATCTCTAGTTGATAAATCATCGCATTCGCCTGAAAACATGACAATAACTGTATATTTTAACCGAGATTGAACGGATATAAAACTTGACATGTTTGATGAAAATAACACCTGGTGATGAAGTCATACGTTCCTGTTGATTTCCAACCCATTTATCCGTATCAGACGCGAATGTGTGTGTGCCAGATCCCTTTGGTACGAGTTGACAGGTTGACCGTTGGTCTAACTACCTGTATGTATTCAGAAAATTTTCTTGTGTATTCAGAAACATTATCAGTCTATTTCGTCATTGATTTTCAGGCAATACAATAGATGTACATTTGAAATGTTATTGTTCGTTAACAGAAAGTAGATAAGAACGGATCTTGGAATAGTAACTCGCCCGTCCCTATCGCCATAGAGTACAGAGACGAGGAGCATAGCGATATCTACGACGATATCGACAAGGAAACAGCTCGTCATCATAGACCCAGCGGAAGACCAGTAAAACAAGAGCACATCATTCCAAAACACGTCGAAGATTTATATGCTGTTCCTGATAAAAAGAAGAAGAGCAAGGATCCGGAGCCCCCTCTTGGTGGGTGAAGCATTATAATCATAATCTAAAACCAGAAAACGACTTTATGTGTAAAGTTTTTTTATCAGTAGTTGGTATAATCCTTTAAATTTAACATTTTACACTTCTGCTGTCATCAACTTGTTTCCCATTGTCTATGAGACTTGCCTACATGCGTGATTAACTTATAGCGCCTAGGCAATGCAACGGGTTGAAACCTTTCTAAAAAAAGGGGGCTGTCATATAGTCAATACATGTAAAGTAAATAACTATATAGTGACTATTACTATATATACAATATAGTCTGGCATATCTAGATTTACAATAAACCGTTAGAGTGTTCTGAATGTCCGTATCTTCACTATTGTAGCTCAAATGGACAGAATCAGGTTCATTGACGAGACGACAGATGACGAATTCGGCGCGAAAGATGAGGAAATACTTGGGTTGCTGAGGAAGAGTCGAGAGGGGCTGATCAATGACCACAACGGTTCCTTACCACGCCTAGACGATTCTGATAGTGGCGCTGATGTTGGCCCAACAGACACGCCACCTGTCGAAAAAAGCCACCAGCAAGGGGAGGCAATAGATCACGACACAAATGTCATTATTGAAGAAGAGGAAGAAGAAGAAAATGACGATGAATCCGAATCAACCCCAATGCTTACAAATGAGGCCAGTCAGCCTCTACAAGACGCATCTGATTCCAATGAGGATAAATAAAGTTGTATGAGTGCATGTTTACCAAATTTTATCTGCAAGAGCTACGTCGCCATTTTATATATTCCTAAGAAACCCGGGTAGACACACATGTGTCAGAGGTCATAAAAACGTCATCGATTTACGTGTATGTAAATGACCTACCGACTCAGTACTAAACAGTTCTGAAAAATAGCATTAAATTAATATATCGCTGATCGGTAAGGATCTAGACACAGAGGTAATGTCTCTATTTCTGTGTATCTCTGTGTCTGGCCTCAGTACTATATAGCTGATCGGTAAGGATCTAGACACAGAGGTCTCTATTTCTGTGTATCGCTGTGTCTGGCCTCAGTACTATATAGCTGATCGGTAAGGATCTAGACACAGAGGTCTCTATTTCTGTGTATCGCTGTGTCTGGCCTCAGTACTATATAGCTGATCGGTAAGGATCTAGACACAGAGGTCTCTATTTCTGTGTATCGCTGTGTCTGGCCTCAGTACTATATAGCGTATTTCCACGACCTTTTAAATTATTAACAACCGTGTTTGTGTTCTGCAAAAATACATTGTTACAATACATAGTGTTATTATTTGACCATTTTGTGTTGTAATTTTGATGTTGTGATGTAATCCTCTCATTAAAAGAACATTCAATAAGATTTATTTAAGATAAAAAGTAAACTACCACACCGAAGTGCTATTATATACTATGTTTTATTTATTTTTTGATTTCAAAAATTTTAGTAGATAATATAAAACTTGTTTACATACGCGCGCTAAACGGGTTATAGGGACACGTGCCGTGTTAAGCAAAACGGTCGCTCGATACTTCTAAATCGTTAATTTTCGTGGGGATTTATTTTCATTTTGATGCTTTGTGGGTACTCGTAATCCACAAAGTCATATGTCTAGAACTGTGAAGTAAGTAGATTTTCTTAGCTGTATTTATCCAAGAAACCACGTGTCACTGATAACGGATTAAAACACGTCAGAATAAGAACAAACACTGAGCCCCATATGTTTTTTTTACAGCATATCCATTATCGTTTGATTTCATACTTTCATACAGAAATACAAACGTTTACTTAAATTTCTAGCCAGTTTCTATTTCTTTTATATCATAAGTTCTGGTAACCTTACCGGATGTCATGGGAATTTTTACATTGACAAAGTACACAGTTGGTAGATCTGATGTTGAAATCTATAGGAGATAGAGGAAATTTTGTACTTACATCCCATTTTTTGTTAGAAGCCTACATCGGCGGGATCCATGTTAAATCCATCGTTAGATGAAACAATTTACATCATTCTACAATCGTTAAAGGTATTGATTTTATGTTTTATTAGTTATTATAAATCCTTGGACTGTAGACGTGACTGTCGCCGCTCACCTCCCAGACAACTCCCCAGACAACTCCCAGACAACTCCCAGACAAAAAAATATGTAAATATTGTAGATATATATTCATAACTGTATGTATTAGTAAAGATTGTGCAATAGTGACACATTAATCATGAAAAAAAACTAAGAAGTGTGTTTTGTTGCGTTGAAAATTTGAGTGTTTTATAGATGTTGAGTGAAAGGTTGAACTAATAGAAACAACGACTGAAAGAGAAACCGGAAATTGATAGGAAAACCGAAAGTTGGATTCGAGTGTAGCGCAAATGAATCACATGTATATAGTTTTTACGTCGATGTGCGTGAGGCTAGCGATTTGTAAAAAAAAATGAACTAACTAGTCATATGTTTGTGTGTTTCTTTATGTGTTGCTTGCTTAATTTATTGGACTTTGTATACCATAATTTCCTAAAAGTATTTTTTGTTCATTAAAGAGGATTCGTTATCTCGTTTTAATTTGCGTTTAACTGCCACATATGTATTATATCAAAATAATTGAAAATGTAACAAACATTGAGATTATGTTTGTGACGTCATTAATCAGAACGCGTTGTAAAATTCGTAGCCAAAGAACACGTGATATCTTATTTTCATGTCACAACGTATTACATATTTTGAGTTTTTTTTTATGTAAATAATGTCATTTTCTTAGGACTACTCTTCACCAAGTCTGGCATCAATTGTATTCTGGTCGGCAGCTCTGTTATGACGTTGATGTGAAATGACGTCATCATCAATCAGATTAGTTTAGCCGGCCAGTGGGCTTGACGAGTTCTTTTCGGTGGTCAACCTCGCATTTGTGAATCGAAATTTCGTGTACCGAAAATATTTCTTTTCGGTAATGTTTCGTTATTGATAAACTTGAATTTCCAAATGTCATTACATTTCTTTCCCAGGATTGCAAGATTCTGAATTATTCGTATTCCGAATAATTGAGGTTAGACTGGAATGACGTTTGTGGGCTGTATCGTATTAGTTACGAGTATCCTACTGCACCCTTGATTTTGCCAGGCTAACGCCCCTTGACCAAACTGTAAATATATTGATTACACTGATAAAAATCACCATTTCAAAAATTGCGATTTACATTCTTTTTAAACGTGTAACTCTTCTTCAAAGAGGTACGTGAGGTAAACCTTGGCATACCCATTTATTGTGAAATCACGTGACCAGGATATCAAAACTAAATACTAAGCTGTCATCAATGTAGAAAACTTCAGTATTTTTAACAACGTTTTATAAAATGTGGGAAAATAAAACTTCGATCGAAATTCATACAAGTTGTCTGTGTGTGTTATTTCCCTTGACCCCATTCGTTATCAGATAGTAAACCGACTACGACCTAGTTCATCAAAACGCTTAGTTATCTTACTGAATAATGAAAACATGTTTCTGTATCCACAAGTTTCTTAAAAAAAATTGTACATATATTCAACTTGTAAATGAATGATTTAAGAATTCAAATTATATTCTTTTCTTCATTTTTTGAGATTTTACCAATAATTTATCAGTCTTATATTAATTGTTTTACTTGTTAAACTTACGTATGTACCTGAAACCAGATGTGCGCGATAATCCTTTGCACCTGGTTACGTGGCAGTAGGACACTCAGGACATGAGTAAATTCCAGGTTCAGGCCGTCACATGCATTTTACCTGTTATCAGCACTTCGGAATTTAGCTATAGATGAATCACATCTAAATGACGTCATAATGACATTAGATATTATGACCTGAAGATATCGTAGATATTATTGATTTTGCTATCTATAATAAGATATCCATCTGTATTAAGATGCATGATATTCTCTTAAGAAAGCTAAAAAATATTCGAAGCCATATACTGATAATTTCTTGCCGTTTTCAAATAAAATCATAGACTATTTCATTTTGTTTATTCTGATGTTTTTTATACATTTTTTATACATTCTCTGTATCCATTTACATCAATCCTATTTCCTGTGCCCTGTTACCCTACTCTATAGTAAAATGTCTTGCCTTTTTGTGTTTTCAAGATGGCTGCCACCCAGATCACTGTGAACAGCCATTAGTGCGAACTTTAGGTAAAACGTATGATAGTCATACAGCCCATTTTTTAGATGGGTGTCATAGAAGTAATCTTCATCTGTGATAAACAAAATGGCTGACCTATGCGGCCATTAAATATATATTGTGTGACCTTATACAAAAAATATATTTCAAATTAAGTTATGTTAGAAAATCGATGTCATGTGTTAAAAGGCAACATATGTGTTTACATAAGCTGTGTCTATTGACTGTATAAAACAATCAGAAAGAATATTGATTACATGTTGGAGAAAGATCAGGAGGGGGAATGTGGCGTATGTGTGTGTGAAAACATGTCTTTGTAATTGTATCATACATTTGAATATAATGAAAGAGGTATGGCACGTAACAGTCTGATTTGCCATAAGTAAGTCCAATACTGAAACTGATCAGTACATAAAGAACACGTGGTCCAACACTGAAACTGATCAGTACATAAAGAACACGTGGTCCAACACTGAAACTGATCAGTACATAAAGAACACGTGGTCTAACACTGAAACTGATCAGTACATAAAGAACACGTGGTCCAACACTAAAACTGATCAGTACATAAAGAACACGTGGTCCAACACTAAAACTGATCAGTACATAAAGAACACGTGGTCCAACACTGAAACTGATCAGTACATAAAGAACACGTGGTCCAACACTGAAACTGATCAGTACATAAAAAACACGTGGTCCAACACTAAAACTGATCAGTACATAAAGAACACGTGGTCCAACACTGAAACTGATCAGTACATAAAGAACACGTGGTCCAACACTTAACCTGATCAGTACATAAAGAACACGTGGTCCAACACTGAAACTGATCAGTACATAAAGAACACGTGGTCCAACACTGAAACTGATCAGTACATAAAGAACACGTGGTCTAACACTAAAACTGATCAGTACATAAAGAACACGTGGTCCAACACTAAAACTGATCAGTACATAAAGAACACGTGGTCCAACACTAAAACTGATCAGTACATAAAGAACACGTGGTCCAACACTGAAACTGATCAGTACATAAAGAACACGTGGTCCAACACTTAACCTGATCAGTACATAAAGAACACGTGGTCCAACACTGAAACTGATCAGTACATAAAGAACACGTGGTCCAACACTAAAACTGATCAGTACATAAAGAACACGTGGTCCAACACTGAAACTGATCAGTACATAAAGAACACGTGGTCCAACACTGAAACTGATCAGTACATAAAGAACACGTGGTCCAACACTAAAACTGATCAGTACATAAAGAACACGTGGTCCAACACTAAAACTGATCATTACACAAAGAATACATGGCCAGTGACATAAAATATAAATATATATTGGCGAATGTAAAGAAAGACAAATGTCGCGAGCGTTTGGCTAGGGTGACGAAAGACAAATGTCACGAGCCTTTGGCGAACGTGAAGAAAGACAAATGTCGCGAGGGTGAAGACAGACAAATGTGGCGAGGATGAAGAAAGACAAATGTGGCGAGGGTGAAGACAGACAAATGTGGCGAGGGTGAAGAAAGACAAATGCGGCGAACGTGAAGAAAGACAAATGTGGCGAGGGTGAAGAAAGACAAATGTGGCGAGGGTGAAGACAGACAAATGTGGCGAGGATGAAGAAAGACAAATGTGGCAAGGGTGAAGAAAGACAAATGTGGCGAGGGTGAATAAAGACAAACGTGGTGAGGGTGAAGACAGACAAATGTGGCAAGGGTGAAGAAAGACAGATGTGGCGAGAGCGAAGAAAGACAAATGTCGCGAGGGTGAAGAAAGACAAATGTGGCAAGGGTGAAGAAAGACAAATGTGGCGAGGGTGAAGAAAGACAAATGTGGCGAAGTTGAAGAAAGACAAATGTGGCGAGGGTGAAGAAAGACAAATGTGGCAAGGGTGAAGAGAGACAAATGTGGCGAGGGTGAAGAAAGACAAATGTGGCGAGGGTGAAGACAGACAAATGTGGCGAGGGTGAAGAAAGACAAATGTGGCGAGGGTGAAGAAAGACAAATGTGGCGAGGGTGAAGAGAGACAAATGTGGCAAGGGTGAAGAGAGACAAATGTGGCAAGGGTGAAGAGAGACAAATGTGGCAAGGGTGAAGAGAGACAAATGTGGCAAGGGTGAAGAGAGACAAATGTGGCGAAGTTGAAGAAAGACAAATGTGACGAGGGTGAAGAAAGACAAATGTGGCAAGGGTGAAGAGAGACAAATGTGGCGAGGGTGAAGAAAGACAAATGTGGCAAGGGTGAAGGAAGACAAATGTCGCGAGTCTGCCGAGCCACTATTGCCTTTGTCCCGAGCACACAAGTAATTGCTTCGCACGGCAATATAGTCCCAAACTTCATCTGATAAAACAGCGATTTAATGAATTTTCATAGATCAAAATGTCCATCACAACATGTTAAATCGCTGATATCAACAACTATAAATATTTCTACACGGACGTGCCAGTCGCAGGATAAATATGAATACACATCGTACCTTTCTTTCTCAAATCATCGGCCACATCTTACGGGAAAGCATTTCATTTAATTACATACAGAGATAGTAAGTGATCGGGAACATCTAGGGTAATGTTGAGGTGGTGTCTCTCTATAAAAGCTGGTGACTTTCTCATGGAATGTCATGCAGGAGGCCCGTCACATGCAATCTATCGCAATAAGAATATCTGTCGTACTATTTATAGGGCCTTGGAGTTAGCGGATAAGGATCTTTTCTATTCTGTACAATATCTTTGATGTTTGTTTTGTTTTGGTCGGTGAAAATACAACTCTATATGTCTTTTGAAAGACGAAACACTTTAACCGCAAACTGCTTAAGAAAATGCTGCGGGGTAATACGATGCAAGCCTTGAATCGATTATAAATATAGTAATTATAGTGAGGTAGTGTTGATGTCACTTTCATGGCCAGGTGCAGTTGACGTCAAAGCGGCCACCTGGATAGTGACAGTTCGTACCAGATGGGAATATCTATACTGTGTATATAAAAAATGTTTGTTTGATTTCAAAATATCCTAGAGAAGGTTCAACAGCAATCACATCATATTTAGAGTATACTCTGTTATGTTAACATTTCATCAGTATGAAAACATGATTTGATTTAGCCGAGGTTTTACATGTAGCCTTCCTATTGCTCAGCTGAAACTTTCAGGAGCGAAAAGTTAGAAACATTTATTGTTATATAAAATAAGAACGATATAAAATCATTGAAATCAATAATAAAAAAAAAACTTGGATGGTCGGGTGGCGCAGTGGTAATGCACTCGCCTTTCATCTAACCGTCCGATGTTCGCGTCCCGGAACGGACCTGAAAAAGTGAAGCGCCTGTTACACCTACACATCCTTGCATGGCGTTCGTACCACGTGTTAATGGTGGGATGGGCTGTTTGTGGTCTGCTCAAGGACGGGGTAGAGCTTCACAAGGACGCAGTATGGGTTACCGGCAACCCAGTTTACGCATAAAAATCAGCGTTCTTGCGTCGTCCTAGTCATTTTTTGAGAACTTCAACACCAGCACATGAACAACATACGAAAACGTGTAAGTGTGACAGGCCCTTAAGGAGTCACCAGCCCGACCATGTGGGTCTTCCCAGAATACGCCGGTTTCCTACCACAAGAAGACCTCTCGCGCGCTTACATTCGGTCCGACAGGTGATAAGTACTGTTTCGCAATTGTAGTAAAATAAATAACTTTTATATATAAACTTGGAAACAGTAATTAATCAGAATGCTCAATGACAATATGTGGCAGTTTCACTGTGGGAGTTACAAGACGTTGAAATCCAAATGCTCACCATTATCCTACTTTGGCCTATACAATAACCATATTCCGAAATCCACGATTTTACCGCCGAAAGTTTTACCTACGTGTAAATGTTGTTTGTTTAATCGTTAACAGTGTAGAGTTTATATCTACATCACAGGACATCATATATTATTACATTCTGATACTATTAATCCAAAACTGATCAATTTTAACTAAAATATTTATATATTACATCTCTTCTTAAAACAACGTACAGTCTTAAAAATGAGTGTCAGTTGTATGTCCTGTTTGATCGTGGGCCTACTTCACACTAAATAAGTGTATGCCGTTTCGGTGTTGATCAGAAAAATCTTTACAGACTATGATTTGCTTTGTTCTAATCAGATAAACCTTGAGATACTGGACGAAGTACACTCGACACAATAAAATCACAGTGAACGTTATGTTTCATATTACAAAACGACAAATTCACATGGCGTAGAGACAAAAGTTTTAGGTATACATGACTTTCACAATTGTCTCTGTATATCAGGTATATTTTTCAGAAGCCAAAAATTCGACATAAAAAGAGAGAAGATGGGAAAATAGGAAACATGTATTTTTTGTTTTGTCTAAACTTGACTACAATTGTTGAATGAAGTATGGACTTGTGTGTGAATAAAAAACGTCAGTCAATATTTAGGCTATCTTCCATCTGTAGTTTTTTGTTTATACAGATCTTGTGTGATAATGATAGCATCTATATACAATGTGTGTCGACAGCTATGTGTAGAGACTATAAAAGCTTACAGAACTGAACGTGGCGGCAATGAATGAGCTTACAATTTTTGCACAATGTTTCGTACACAGGTCAAAGTGACATAGATCGGACATCAATGTTCTTCCCATAAATCAAAGACTCGTCAAAAAGGGGCCAAAGGATTTCCGTTAACCCCTTCTGTCTGTATCGCGAAACAAATGTACTTTTAACCCACTTTAAATAAACAAAATATGAGCGTTGTTGATGAAAAGTTTGTTTTGGGTATTTTAGAGTAACAGTACACATACATGTTCCCATCAGTTTAATGTCGTGTAAATGTGTAATTGACACCGTATTTATCCTGAATAAGACCAACAGGTCAGGAGGCCAGGAGAAATCTGATGTAATACCTTTAACGAGTCGTGTCTAACACGACAAATCTGAGGTTAAAAAAAAGGCTTAGGACAAAACAAACGGAGGCAGCCATTTTATTATGTTAATTTCAATTAATGACGTAAGTGTTTGTATTTTGACATCACAATCGATTTCTAACTTGAACATCCAATAAGAAACACGCCAGGATATATTATATTAGTGACGCAGAGGAAACAAGAGGCCCATGTTCATTAACGATCATCTGACTATATACACACACATATATAACTGTAGTGAGAAAAGTTATTGAAACAGTTCGAAACGTTTTAGTAGGGACAGGAGAAGTAAAAAGTTCCTTGTTTCTCAACATTCGCTTAAAATTCCAGCTCATTGACATAATTGGAAAAAAAGGAAAAAGTTCAAAATGTGTTTTCAAGATTGCGGCTTTATTTGATTTCAAACCGACACGAAAAATAACAAGACTTGGTAAGGATCATTTCATGGAACTTGAGAAGAATTGGAAAAAGATATTGTTTAGAGAATAATTCTGCAATTATGTTACAAAATGGTTTCCATGGCTACCATATCTATTTGATAAGGCCGAAAATACCATATTTTGTCGGTTTCCATTCCTTAACATTCAAAATAATAAACTGGGAAAGACATTTATTCAATTATTTTTGTCAAAACGGTGAACATGGCGGACGGCGGATGGTGAATTGCGCAGAATAATAGTCGACCTGAAAAATATCTCATCGTTGGAATTGACCAACTTTTTAAAAACAATTATGCACTGTAAATTTCCATCCATTTCAAAATTACAACATGGTACAGTAAGTCACGTGCTGCATGTGTATATATTGTACCGTTTAGAACACCTCGGCTGTTTCTATCTATTGTTGAAATGGAAGAGTTACAAAAAGTAGGAGAAAACCACAGGCGTTTGAAATTCTGCTTGTCATGTAAAAATATTGGTATCATTTACACAAGGCCCAATGAGTCTTCCACTTGTTATACAGCCTACGCAGAATACTTTGTCGGTTTTGAATGTCAATTTCTGTTAATTTGAAAACCTTTTCCTCAAGTATGCTATTATACAAATACCATGACCTAAGAACTTTTCCTTGTTCAAAAATAATTCTTAAGTTCTGACATTTGATCTCTGTGAATTTAAAATGGACCAAAAGAAAAAAAGAACTTATTAGCCTTTCATCCAATGATATTAAAGGACCAGTATCAGTGCCTGGACCTTTGGTTATTGACAAGTTGTTTGAAGATCTTAATACATTTAACCCTTATGATCTTGAAAATGGGTCAAGTTCATTCATTTGAACAAACTTGGTACCCAACTACCCAAGCATGCTATAGGCCAAATATTTGTACTCTTGACCATTTGGTGAAGATTTTGACACATCTAATCTCTGTGACTAAGAAATTGGGTCAAGGTCATTCATGTGGACACACATTGTAGTGCTTCAACCCAGCATGCTGCACACCCATTATTAGTACTCTGAGGCTTTTGGTTTTTGAAACGAAGTCATTTGAAGACTTAACATGTTTTACACCTTACCTTGAAAGTTCATTCCTTCAACAAACTGGGTAACCATTCACTCCAGCATACTACATGAAAAATATCAAAAGGCTGGACCTTTTGGTTCTTGGGGAGAAGTTGTTTGAAGATTTTAAGATATGACCCATGTAATCTTCACAGAAGGTCATGGTCACTTATCTGAACAAATTTGATAGCCTTTTATCCCATCATACATCAGAACCAATATCAGCTACCTGATAATTTTAGTTATGGAGAGGTCTCTTCAAGACCTTGTTTACACATATGACCCCTGTCACATTGGGAAGTGGGTCAAAGGTCATTAATTTTAACAAACTTGGTACCCATACATTCCAGCATGCTACCAGCTCAATATCTGTTACCTTGACCTTTTGGTTAAATAAGTCATCTGATTGAAATGCTTATGCATAGCACCTGAACAAAACATTATGGCTATAGGTCGACCTGACAAGATGACCTAGATATTATATGGAAGAATCACCAGATAAGAGGAAGGTTTTGTGATTAACTGAGTAATGACACACCTATAATAATATATGTCCCATGTCAAATGAGTCAACTTCAATGAACATACAATGGAAACACCAGCATATATATTTTTTAATTTACTTTAATAAAAGCTGTTTAATTAATCAACTATAACTTAATCAGATTATCTAGAATACGACGTTTATTACATCAACACTCATCCATGATTCAATCATTTTTCCTTTCAAAATTTGCAAATTTTGTAACAATCAATCACAGCAATAATAAAATGCATTCTTTCCATTCCATCCAGTGATCACTCTTCCAAAGCCTTAAAGATGGGAGACAAATTCAAATGACCCAAGAACAACAGAATATATATATGTGTATACCGCCCATGATACAACAACCGAAATCAGATACATTGATTTAATATGCAATGTTTAAAGGAAAACTCTTAGAGGTTAAAAGTTATATCAATATTGCCTGAACATATATATACATGCCAAGAACATTTGTACTTTTAACTGAAAAAAATTTAACAATTCAATATGAAGGGTCAGAAACGGTGCTCAAGCATTTTCTCTTTCATTTTATAAAATTACTTAATGATCATACATTCCCTCACATTTTTGTCATAATTCAATCCTTTACTGTACTTCATTCATCCAAACATTCCTTATTCACAATAACAAAATTAAGAGAACAGTATTTACATTAAATCTACCCTCGGAGGAAGATTTCTTTCACTTAGTGTTCCCCTTTTTGTTTTTGGTTTTTCATAATTGTACCCCAAGCAAGGTACAATGGCGTCTGTGAAAACATGGGATGCAAGTCGTAATTATAAGTGTTTTATATATGTAACACAATGTCATGTACTGTGAAATAATGCTTTTTGGTCTATTCTCCTACAAGATGGTCACACAAAGGAGACAATCATTCAATGGACCAATAGTTTCCCAATAATAGGAAAAGTGAGAAACACAAAAAGCCAGACTGGATGTAGAGGATGGGCTTATTACAGGACAATGAATGAGCATTGGTTGGTTATATTACAGTACAAACATGTGTATAGGTGTTATTACCATGTATCGTCTTATTGCCAGATAATATACATTTACACATATATCTTTTACAAGAACAATTAGCAAACACTGACATCAACACAACAATGAGAGAAGTACCAGGTACTACAAACAGTCAAAGCCTCTAGATCTGGCAGGAAACATTTTCACTGAATTAGCCCCCTGTGAGGGAAACAATCAAAGGTAATTAAAAAGACACAACCTGGTTATTTGTTTCTGGTTAGTAAATAATTACGTATCAATAAAACATGTTGGGAAAATCAAACCTGAAAAAAAAAAGAAGAAAATAAAAACAAAAGCGTGTAATATCTCCACTCAGATTGCGTAAATTGTGTAAGATTTTATATAACGCACCCACGACCATATTGATAGCACTAATATACATGGTCCCATATATTTATTGTTTAGCAGAAGCAATCGTATTTAGACACTGATTACATACACAAATATTACACAACAACAATACCTTTAAAAAAAAAATATCTAAATTCTAAAACTTTCATAGAAATGGGTCAAGAACAAGAAGTGGACTTTCCAAACATGGTAAAAATGTTTACAGTATACAGGTAAAGGGGAGATGTTTACAGTATACAGGTAAACGGGAGATGTTTACAGTATACAGGTAAAGGGAAGATGTTTACAGTATACAGGTAAAGGAGGGATGTTTACAGTATACAGGTAAAGGGAAGATGTTTACAGTATACAGGTAAAGGAGGGATGTTTACAGTATACAGGTAAAGGAGGTTTGTTTACAGTATACAGGTAAAGGAGGGATGTTTACAGTATACAGGTAGATGTTTACAGTATACAGGTAAAGGAGGGATGTTTACAGTATACAGGTAAAGGGGAGCTGTTTACAGTATACAGGTAAAGGAGGGATGTTTACAGTATACAGGTAAAGGAGGGATGTTTACAGTATACAGGTAGATGTTTACAGTATACAGGTAAAGGAGGGATGTTTACAGTATACAGGTAAAGGGGAGCTGTTTACAGTATACAGGTAAAGGAGGGATGTTTACAGTATACAGGTAAAGGATGGATGTTTACAGTGTACAGGTAAAGAAAAGATGAGCAATGGGGCTTCATATGGTTTCAAAGACACAAATGAAGCTTTGATACCTTTTGCAAGTCATAACAATTGAGAAAGAAAAAGATGGTGGATTAAGTGTCGAAATCACTTTCCACAGCATCTACATGAGTTCAAGGTAAAATTTTGCTAGAAGAAATTTCCAATGATGCTTTAAATATCTTGATAAAAATGATCACATATTTACAATGTAAATTCATCTGGTTAGTTTGCATAGTAAAGAAACAAGCTATGCAGTTCACTGTTCAGGAATTCACAAATGTTCATTACATGTATGTAGTAGTACTTCCAAGACTGTCATTATCTTTTTGGTTTTCTTGAATCAAAAATTTTCTTTGGTTTAATACTTCTCTATGACAGCATCACTTTATAGAGATTTTCCAGTTAATTTTTCAAAACTTTAAGAAATTTCCAACATTTCCTACTCCAGATATATTCTAAGATAACCTTAAAGGACATCCTGCATCAACGAATTCCAATCAAGTGCAAGGTCAAGGGAGACAACCATTTTGTACATCATCACGTTGACCACAAATAGAAATAGATTCTCTGCCAGGTAGGAAGATACTGAATCAGTGGCCCTGCAAAAATATACAAATTTTATATGAGTAATCTTTATATTTTCAGTATACTGAAGTAATTTGATCTATACTGTATTTTGTTTGTGCTGTTAAAGATCTGGAATTGTTTCATTTCATTGTAAAATAAAACTGTTGGTATAACCCTAGCCTTCTCCTCCACTTTGATAAGACATAAAAAGTATATTGAACATGGGATACTGAGGATGTGTTGACATTTATTTGCTTAATATTTAATTGTGATAATTTTTTCTCTAACAAAATAATTTCATACTAAATGAAACAAATGCTCTATATCTACCAGATATGACTTCTATAACTAGTAACCTCCAAATGATCATTCATGTTAGTTTATAAGGTTTTGTTTCTTTTTCTCGTTGGATGACTGAAAATTTTAATATGCTTATATTACCATAAACAATACAAGGGAGGTAAATCTGTATACTTCTGTACTGTGTAATACTTCCTTTCATGCAAAAATATTCTTTAAGAGACTACTTACGTAAGATAATCCCAACCAGTGGAATGTTTTCTGCCAGCATGTGTAGAGCAAAGAGGATCTTCATTCTGTGACACAACAATCATTCAAATCAGAATAAGCGATCACCAATGTCATCGATATAGGGGTGACATAGGGGTGTATACTGATGACAGTATTATATAGAGTTACTAGGAGTCCTAATTGATGATCTGTATACTGATGACAGTAATATATATAGTTACTTGGAGTCCTAATTGATGATCTGTACACTGATGACAGTAATATATATAGTTACTTGGAGTCCTAATTGTTGATATGTACACTGATGACAGTAATATATATAGTTACTTGGAGTCCTGTTGTTGATCTGTTTACTGATGACAGATCTATATACTCACTTGGAATATTGGTCGTAGAACGGTGACCTGAGTAAGTAGTACAATAACATGATGGTACGTTTCTTCACCTCCGTCTTCTCATGTGGATTAAGGTTTTCTGTGTCACCCATCATACACAAACTATAAAAAATAACACCAGAAGTGTTATTATCAAAGGGAGATAACTTTTATAGACCTTACAAACCCTTTATAGATGAGTGCTCTATTATGAGGACAGTAGAGTGTTACATTAAAACAGCATGATGGATAGACCTAATCTTGGCATGTGTCAACAACTCTTTCAAACTATCTCAACAAGCACTATCATGTATTAATCTGCAATTGATATAAATGACATTGTATACAATTTTCTCTCATTTCTACCTGTGTAATATTGGTCTGTCCATGGGCAAAACACCCAGGTTCACTGTTCTTGTATTACACACCCATCCATGCAATACAGGCATGCATGAGTAGAAATATAATGTGTTCCTTACTAATTGACGTCATCACCTAATACAATTTGTACAAATAGTTATTTTTAGTGACTATTTACATTTTGTTTTAATTTTCTACAGCAAACTAAAGGTATGGAGAATTCATTTTCTATGTCAATTTGTTGATTGAGTGCATAATAAAAAACATGATTTTTTTTTTGTAATATGGCGTACTTTGTAGTACACTGTCAGCGTCTGAAGCTATTTTTTCCAAAATCATAGAATGAGTAATGAGAGGAAAAAACTCATTGATATGTCAGAGTGAAAGATGGCATATTTCACCCTCAATGTAAAAAAATATGGTAAGACCCTACTTGTGACTCCTTGGGTGGAATATCCCTTCGCAACGACCCAACACATGAAAGAGTCTTATATTGTACATTTCAAAAAACAAAATGTAGAAACCCTGACATATCATCAAAATATCTTCATTCAAACTCAAATTTAAAGAAACTGAGGCAGTAATTCAACATTTACACATGGTGTACACATGTAAACAGTGCAAAATGAACTACTAACATGTCAGAGAGGACTATTTCGCTTAATAATGTCAAATATTTACCACTTAAAAATGTAACATTTGACCATGACATTTGACCAATAACCTTGAACTTTGTTCTATTTTGCTACATAATGTCATAACAAAATATCTACTTCCTTACAATTGTAACATTTCATCATGGCATTTGACCAAATAAACTTTAGCGTTGGTCAGTTGAAGCCTTGTCTGATTGTGAAGAAACTTATTTAACATTTGACCTAAACCTTTCAACCAGATGACCTTGAGCTAATTTGGTTTCATGACAAAATATCAACCAAGAAAAGAAATGTAACATTGAACCTTGACCTTTGACCCAACGACCCTGATCTTCAATGCCAGGCCCTCATAAGACCAAGTGTTGTGAAAGGGTAGAGGCAGCGCCCACAATGATATAGACAAGTGTTACCAGTATAACATTTGGCCTAATTCAACATCTACATATCAACAGTCAATATATCTTATCATATTACAATGCAAAACGTAATCAAAACTTAAGGACTCAAAGTATGTCTTTGGGGCCAATTAAATACTGCTGAATACAGTACTTACCTTGAAATGTCTATGCCGCCTGAAATGAGCCAAGGTTTCCAAGACTTTACTCCAAATAGATACATCGCCAGTACTGGTCTGGTTAAGGTTATAACAGATGTTTACATGATCTGTGAATTCATTACAAACCAAAGATAAAACATTGGTATCATGTAGTAGCTTCCCTTGGTCCCTTGTCAGAATTGTCTCTCCTTGAACAGCCAAGGTCAGTTTGAAGAGGAGTTTCCGAGTAGTACCAGATGGCTACCTCACAGAACAAAATCAGCAGGACTGTTGTATACCATACAGAACTAAGTACAGGACTGTTGTATACCATACAGAACTAAGTACAGGACTGTTGTATACCATACAGAACTAAGTACAGGACTGTTGTATACCATACAGAACTAAGTACAGGAGGTATGTTGTATACCATACAGAACTAAGTACAGGTCTGTTGTATACCATACAGAACTAAGTACAGGAGGTATGTTGTATACCATACAGAACTAAGTACAGGAGGTATGTTGTATACCATACAGAACTAAGTACAGGTCTGTTGTATACCATACAGAACTAAGTACAGGTCTGTTGTATACCATACAGAACTAAGTACAGGTCTGTTGTATACCATACAGAACTATGTACAGGACTGTTGTATACCATACAGAACTAAGTACAGGTCTGTTGTATACCATACAGAACTATGTACAGGACTGTTGTATACCATACAGAACTAAGTACAGGTCTGTTGTATACCATACAGAACTAGGTACAGGAGGACTGTTGTATACCATACAGAACTATGTACAGGACTGTTGTATACCATACAGAGCTAAGTACAGGACTGTTGTATACCATACAGATCTAATGGGGTAAAGTGTCTAGCTATGGACACAACTCTAACTTACTGTGTAACAAAAACTGCTAAAGGTAGGAAACATCAAACTACACAGCTCAGATCTTCACCAGACATGTAGCTTTATCCTGGACAAGACACTTTACCCCAGATTTGGAGAGTATGTGACAGGCCCCCAGTATATTAAGTGAGGTAGCCATTAGGCAGCTAACACAAGGAGACTCTGCCTCACTGGCATATTGAGAGCAAAATAAACCAAGCAAACATGCAAATGAAAATTTCCTAGTTAGGGTTAAGATTTAAAGGATACAGTGTGCAAGAGGGCGTGTGATATACAGAGTCTCCGCCCACATTCTTTGAGATGACAACACAGTAGGTGTGTACATTGTAAGCTTGTTATTGTGGTTATCGTCCTGTAAGGCAGCATGCTCTTTTGGAACCTTCCACGATCGAAAATTCATAGGCGGTGCTACAAATCAAAATCAGAAATCTATAATAACATAGGTCGCAACAAGAATTATAAACATTTTGATCATAGATGGCACTGTGAGTAACAAACAACATATTATTCGGAACACTGCTCCCCTTCCTGACAGTCTAATAGAATAGAATTAATTAGCAATTCAGCTCCCATCAATCACTGCTTGAAAGGCATTGACTGGAATGGGATATACAGGTATTTTTACTTTGCAAAAAGATAAAAGAATAGATGATTTTATGCAAACACACCTCTCATCTCAACATTTTGAAAAAAGACCATAAGGATAAAATCAATCTCTAGGTAGGCATACTGGAAGCTACAACTTTCTTTAATAAACATCAATCCGACATCTGTTTACTACAGGCGTATGTATATGTATTTTCAAAATCAAAGTCTGCAGTTCAGTTAACATAAATGTAATATGAATTTATTTGTAATCAATATAAAGAAAACAAACCATGCTATTTAAACAAAGTACCAAATTTACCTGCAGACAATTTTCTTATCTGTCTTCCGGATCGTTTCAAGCTGTATGTTGATCCATTGACAGACTCTGACTCCGTCTCCAGATTCTCCTCAAATTCATTCAGTTCCTGAAATGTCAACCATAAACTGATACACACACTTACAGAACAAATTGTGTAATTAATTTCTAATCAAAAAGAATGGTGTGGTTGCTTGTTGAAGTATCCAGAAAGTATTTCGCAATGAAAGTAGATAAACTGATCATTAAGGGATTACTGTGACAAGTCAGTATGTTTGTCTATCTCACCTTCGCTGTACTTGTCTTGTACTGCATCTGTATCAGTGCATCACGGTCCAGCGCTTGTAGGGGAGGTGATGGCTGGATACCAGATTTGTTTACCCATACCATCATCAGTCGTAACACAGACCTTTAAGTTAAATTTACTCAGTTTTGTTTACGGTACTGTTGAACCTAGCTAAGTTTGCATTGATAACTCAAATATATGTAACAAAGTCATAAAACAGTGATACAAAAATTCTTTATCATTTCAGGACAGAAGCAGTAGTACAATGTATTTCTTACCAATATAAAGGACTGGTTTATTAACCATTAATTAGGTATGATATTTAATTATAACCAGATTGTGTTGCAGTCCTCTATGTCTTATATTACTATTATTGTGTTACTTGTAGAATGCTATCATCATATCGTTGAGCTACAGCGCAATAAGCATGCATAACATGGATGACAGAAATATCTTATATCTAAAAATTAGAACAATATCAGACTCAAAAACAATATAATCAAAAGGCTGTTACTTTGTTATCTGTAGAGCAACAATTAGGACCCAGCGACCAGTTTTACCCCAGTATTTTGCAGCAGACATCTCAAGGAAAACTTCAGCATACTGAAGCACTGTAAGAAGCTTCTGTATCCTTTCTTGTGACAATGACTGAAAACAGAAGTATTATTTCTATACGAACACTGATTTTTAGACTCTAACAATTCAGTCTATTTTTCTTTTTCTTTTGTACTAAAAATGATGCTATCAATAACATAACATTACTTCAAACAGTTTTATCTGTTAACTATAGAAATCATTTTGTTCCATTTGTGTACAAAAAGTGATCACAAAAGTTTATCAACAGTTCCAGTGATTTTTGGGACTCAGATATTTGAATCTCTGACTCCTGCTTTTCCTGTCAGACTCACTCAAATTTTGAGAACTGACTATGTCTCTTAGTATTGGGATGCATCAAAAGTTTGGAAATGATGTTCTGGACTCACAGGAAAAAGTCCTAAAAAAATTATTGAGTTCTTTACAGGATTCCAATGTTACTAAATATATCCTGTTCTGGGGACATATATAATCTGTGGATTTATGTAGGGGGATGGGCTTATAAAAAAAAACAAGGAGATAGGTGGCCATATTGACTACAATTGCAAAAGAAACAAATGGGCTTTTTACCAGGCACGGGCTTAATAGATACACACATCATACATCATACCATCAATATTTTATTCAATAAAACAAAACATCCCAGATATTTACCAATTTTGGAATTAGTTTGGCAGAATTCTTCAAGATCTGGTCATTGAGGAAAACCAGGAGATTGGAGGAAAGGTAAACTAACTCAGACAACACCTGAGAATCATCGATCCGACCTGTGATAGAAAAAAGGTGACAATGTATCAATAAATATCTAATAGATATATTGATATAATGTTAATAATTTTGCTTCATTTCATTATGGCCAAAAACTTTGAGCTTTGGGAAACCTGATGTTACTATACAAGTTGTACAAAGACAGGTAGGAAACACTACACATGTGGAGCACCAACACCAGGGATTCTATCAACAGTGACTTTCTTTAATTGTTCATATGTTTTGCATGACTAGGTCATCAGTTATGGTTGCAGAATCCTTCTTATTTACGTTCCTTAGGTGGAGCTCAACTATAATTCCTTCAAGGTCATCTATCCATCTCGAATTCCTACACCGGTACACTCACTTATTATTTTCCATAAGATGTTGGATCACCCAATAATTGTGCATTTATTGTTATCTAAATTGCATAAATTGTTGGTGAGAGAATGCCTTGAAATAGGACAAGTCAAGAAGAAGCAAAACCTGTAACCAACCAACCAGTCAACCAACTGGCATGACTCTTCTTTTTTATAGAAAATGCTACACTTTTTCAAGGATATGCCTTTTCCATTTTAAAAGGTATTTTCTGATGACACTTTATGTCGCATTTTCATATATCTGTATCTCATTTGCTTTTGTTTTTTCCTCACAGACACAAATGAAATTGTTTTATATTCAAAAATTGGCCTATGAAATGTATTAAAGTTGTTGACAATTTTCAATTGTGAAATAGTTTCTCCACACATTTAGATATAGATCTACATATACACCACATCAAATGATGATGTGGTTCTACTGTGGATAGTGTCATTATGAGTGCAAGACAGCCATTCCCTAACGAGACTAATAGGATCTTTCCATAGCTGGAGAGTAGGAGATTTTATGTTTTTGTACAAACTGACTAAAAACATCAGAGTACACATAGCTAAATTTTAAAAAATAATGCCGAGAAAAAACGTATAAAACATCAAGACTACTGGTCGGATCCCAATACATACTGCTTCAGTAAGGTAAAACGAAAGTTGGAGTGAAAAGACTAGAGACCAGATAAACAAGGCGACCTTGTTGATTAGTAGAGCCAAAATAGCATTGCTCACCTGCAATAATGTAAGACAGTACGCGAGACGTCGTTTCAATTTGACTGACAGTCTCCGGATTATCGCTTATGAGTTGTTTGTATCTTTTCCAGCCATTCTCCACGATATGCGCCATTTTCCCCTCTTATCGGAAAGGCCTCGATTGTGTGATATCTGATGTTCTAAAAACTAGAGGATACCCGAAAGTATTAGGGATATACTAGTTTCAGGAATTATCCAAAAGCTCCTTAACTTTAGAATGTAGTATTAGATTAATCTTGTAGTTTCTTTCAAAGTTTTGAGATTATATTATTAGTTGTTATTTTATAAGAGTCTTGAAAACTTCCAAAATACCTATCTATAACTATTGAATATATGACAATACTTTCGGATGTTCATATTCATCTCAATAGTGTTATATTTAAGCTTTTAAAAGATTCAGATTTGTTGTCATCGTGGAGTGTCACGTCAATTTTGCTGTTTTGGCATGGCAGATTTTAGAAACAATCGCAATGGTAAGTTATTATCAGAAGGTTGGATTTGCTTTAGCGGTTGCTGTATGTTATGATTTACAGTTAGAAGAACACCTGTCTTTGCTGGGTATTGATTTACACATGGCCGAAGCATAACTATAAATGTCTTGATTCTCTTACCTTTACTATTTAGTGTAGACCTGTATACGTACGTACCTACTAAAGACTATAAACTGTACTGGTTCTGCAGCGCATATGCCTAAATACTAATGTCTGGTTATGTTTTCCTTAATTCCAGCTGATAAGTCTATTTTGCAGGGTTGATTATATATAATGAACACATACGGTATACTGATGGATATACTTTGTCAAATTTTAGTATTAGGATTCTAATATCTCTCTCAACTTCTTCTTAAAGAGAATGATACCTATATCATAAGATAACAGAACTAGTGTAACTTCTTTAAAGTGAGATCCTTTGATATCATGACATAAAATAGAAATCTGGAATATCAAGCTAGTGCAAGATTTTAAAGAAATTCTAAAAGAATGTTTCAAAGATATATTAAAGGAGAATAACCCTTTGATCTACACGACATTTACTTCTATTTAAAAGCCAGGGCATGGTTTACTACAGATAAAGATTAATTTGTTTGTAATAAATTTGTATCACTGAAATAAATGTATGAGTCAGCTTTTTTTTATAAGGAATAGCAGGGACGAACAGATCTGTATTATACGTCCCTGGGAATAGGCACATTCCAAAACGATTGTTATCAATAATCAATTCTTTTCATTTATATTTTGTAGGGTTGGCCCGAACTGAAGAGATGCTGGATGCTGAAAATCAGCAGCGGGTGGAGATGTTATCCTCCAAAGTTTCAAGGCTGAACAATGTTAGTCAAAGTCATTTATTGTACCTTCTCTGTGTCATGTCAGTAACTGTATTAGCTACTACAGAAAGAGCTTGTCTGGGAAAGTTAACTGCTATTCTTGATATTATGAATAAGTTTTTACCAGCACTAAGTAAGAACTGTTTTTAGTTTATCATTGTAGACCTACTATAAGGTGTTGGGAGGAATTAATTCTATATCCAAGAACTAATATGAAAATCATTGTAATTTTACAGATTGCTCTGGACTTACAATCTGAAACAAAAAACTCCAATCTCTACCTTGATGATATGGTAAGTTTCTTATGTATAGATATAACAATTTTAAAATGAGCCTTTTTTTTCTTTGTTTGAGAAAATGAAACAGTGCCATTTGAAAATGTAGAATGTAAAATTTTCAAAGATGATGAATGAACCAAGGATTCTTTTATAATTTCACTGAATCTTAAGAATACCTGGTAAAGTAAAAGAATAAACTAGAATACAAAAATTAAATGAATAGATAAAATTGAGATAAATGAAAATAATAATAAAAATATATGTAACAGAGGTCATTATTTATTTCAATGCCTCCGCTAGGAATCGAACCTGGGAGCCCTGGCGTTCTCTCTAGCCGAGTGGTATATTGCGGCCAGTATTTTACCAGGGTTACATATATATGAAAGAACAACAATTTCTTAATTTCAGGGTGGAGATTTCGAGTCTACTCAGGGTCTTCTCGGAGGAACTGTCAACAGATTATCCCACATGGTCTCCGCTAACAAGGGAAACCGTAAACTCATGTGTTACATCGTCCTGGCTCTTGTATTATTATTCTTCTTCTTCTACTATGTCATAGGCAAAGTGACTGGAGGATGATGGGAAAGTTGGACAGCTAGGGCAGGGTCATCTGGGAAGGGGTAGGGAGTTGGAGTATTTATTGAATGATTGTTTTAAGAGGCATTGCATAACCCCTATGAAACGATTATGAATATTTCATGAAAGTTCATGAAGAGTTTATGAGGGGTATTTGATGAATGAACTATCGGTATGATTCATGAACATTCATTAACTCATGAATACCATCTCACAGGGGAAGATTGTGTATTATTTTGTCATGCCATGATAATGTATATATTTTTTTCATTTTTTTTTTGTAAATCTTGTATTCAGTATAAAACATGAATGTGAATATTAAATGTCAGATAGATTTGTATGGCATACAATCCCAGAGTTATGTTGATAGCTGTAATAAATACATCAGTACTGGACCAATTTTTTACAGCTTGGTACATATCCTCAGAAATTAGATAAGATATACTGTGTTTGTTTAGTTTGTTGTCCAAAACACTTGAAATATTGATGATTTTGAGGAATATGTAGGAGAAAAAAACAAAACAAATTTACTGTTTGTGTTAATGTCCATTTCCTAAAAATCCATGTGGAACTGAACTTTTTGGCAGCATCAAAAAAATCTTGATGCAAGAAATCTGCTATATATATAATGCAATTGAAGAGTTGTAACATAAAGTGTAATTTAGTAAGCTTATGAAGAAGTATGAAACCTGAAACACAACATTTATATTTATCGGCTTATCAGGTGTGGATCAATTTGTTGGAATTTGAATCATAAAGAGGAACACCAGATCATGGTCCTGTTGTTATGTATACAAGATAGTTTTCAAGAAAATCTTGCTTAAATTAAACATTACTTTTGAAAAATTCATGTTAATATACACATATATGTTACAACACAACAGACTCATGTGTTATGTGTTATTGGTTTTACTTGTATTGGGTGAAAACCAAAGGTGAGTTCATTTAGATAAATGTTAATTTACAATGGACATTATCAATATGACAACAAGTTTCTGTGTACAGTAGTACCCAGGTTTACAGATGCATGTGTATTGAGAGATTTGTTCAGGATTCTGTACTTCACTTCTATTTCTTCATTTAACAAAACCCACTTCAATTAGTCAGAATATCCTTGTAAACTTTGGTTCCATTGTATATCAAAGGTTGGAAGACTTATCTTTTCAGGATTTTACTTTTGACTTTCACTGTGATTTTCATTTATAGAAAATTTTATGTACCGGTATATGAATACACATGTTAGTCTTTGAATAATGAAGGATTAACTTTGCAGTATATCATTGTTATTGAGCCTTAGCACAAAAGCAAAGTGTACTTTAAGTAAGCCCTATATGCTTAGAGTACACTCTGTTTTTGTGTTATTGATTAATAATTAAAGATAATTAATCCTTATGATTTAATCACAGATTGCAATAGTTTGGACATTTATAGTGGAACTTTTTCTTTGACAATTTTTTACATTGACTCATCAAACGTGACACTATATAATGAAATCAATTTTTTGTATGTTACAGTGTGATAACAAAGTAATTGGTCCATGAAAATGCTGGTCTCATAGAGGATAAAATGATTGTATTATGATGGACGATACAATGGGATTACAGACATATCAAGGAGATTTGTTGTTTGAATTTCTCCTAAATCTGTGTAACAGATACAATACACAGTGGTGGGAATTTGTCCCTGTGTGAATAACTGTTTTCTGACAGGTGTATACCATTACTTATCATCTTGTAAGGTTACAACGGGTTTACATTGTGGTATAGATATATGAATATTTTGTATAGTCAAATTAGTGATTCTACCAACATGAAATAAAAAAATTAAAAGATATGAAATTTGATCTTCTTTCTTTTAATGTTGAATCACTTTATTTTTGAATTTCAATATTACACTGAATATTCATTCAGGTGTCCTGTCACTGCATTGTATAGATCAGAAATAAGATCTGATATGTTGGGGAGATCTGGTGTTCAGTTTTGGTGGAATACAATGCCAAAGGAATGAGAAAACACAACAACTAGAATAATGTGACTAGAACTTGTTTTGGTCAGGTGATGCAGTGTTAACACTGTTGCCTTTCTTTTAGTTCTGTTCGAATCCCTGATCAGATGTGAAAACTTGACATTTTTGTATCGGTCTGGAGTAGATGAACTCGGCTTTATACTCAAAACTTCCCAAAAACACTCCTCCTGCCCAATTTTGAAGTACATTATGTAATGCGAGATCACTTAACCAATTTCTAGACACTTTTTAAAGATAATTTTACATAAAATGATTCTCTGCCCTAAGAAGTCAAGAGACTTTGATTGTCCAGTCGGTAGAACTTGGTTTACACAAACTCGGGTAAAGGACGGACAACACAAGCAGCAGTATGCCGTAAAGTCACTTCGCACTTTGAGCCAGGTCAGCGGGAAAAAACAACAACTTGCAAAACCAAAATGTCTGTTGAAACTTTTTTTATTGTCTGCATATCATTTTATGACATTATGATATTGTTATTTACTATAAATATTGTTTACCACTTGCATATATAAACATAACTCAATTCACACATGATAGCTACAATAAAACATGTTTATTATAAACATGCTGTATAACAACCGTAATCGGAAACATGGAGTGAATTATGTAACAAGTGTTTACCAACCAATGCATCAGTAATCTTGTTAAGGTCTCTAAGTTAAAATTTTATAGCACTTTTTCCTGCGAGAATAAGTGGATTAAAACCATTCAAACCAGATAGATAAAAACTTTGGTTTAAGGTTTCATATTGAATCACTTATCCTATCGTTTCACAACCTCACCTGATTTTGTCAGGTCAACCTGATATTGGCCACCTCCTCCTCTGCTTTTACTTCTGATCATTGTTTCCAAATCGGGAAATTTATTTTTGAATTTACATGTAATACAATCAACATAATGTTCAAACATGACGTCATCTAGATACACAAAGACGTGATAACTATACAATGTGGTTGGTGATAAGGTATTTCTCCTTCATGACCCTTTGCATCATCCTTGATTTTGAACCGCTATGACCAGATATATGACTAACAGTTATTGGTGTGCTGCTCCTTGTCAAGGAAAGAATCCATTGTTTACCCAATTTTAACATCAAAAAGCAAAAGAAACAAATCCATTCAAATACTGCTAAATCAGCATTTGATGGCTGATTTGGAAAATATCAGCAGTAATCCAGATGCAACAACAAGATATGATTTTCCAGCACCAGTAGACTATGGAACATCTGCCTGCCTGAGTGATCAAAAGGCAATTTATTTCATTTGATTGTTTTTCTATCGCAACTTTGAACAAAACAAATATCTCAGCATCTTCAAAGGCATTTGAAGGACAAAGTATATAACACATACCTGTCTATAAAGGTCACATCTCTATAGCAAATACCAGTATGTAAAGGCCTCCTGTATGTAACAAATACCTGTCTGTAAAGGCCACTTGTTACCAGTCTAAAGTAGTGATGTTTAGACAATTGAACATTGATATCAATACTACCTGAGGCGTTTACTCTGCTCCCATGATTTAACATCTATAAACATGTTTGACTGAGGTGCAAGTTTAATTTAACCTTTTCTGTTAATGCAAATTTTTGTTGTTTTTTTGATGTTATAAAATTCTTAAAATTAGATGTTACATAAAAAACAATGACGAAGTTTAAATGGTCTGGTACCCACTTCGCAGAGTGAGGGATTTGTTTCTAGCTTTCTTGATGCTAGATCATCCTTTCATAATACATGTATAACTGTATTATATTAAGGAGAGACATAAATCCCAAAATATAAAAGTGTATGTTTTTGGTTATAAAATTTAAATATGAACAAGAACTAGATATCAGTATTTTTTTTTTTTTTTACAAAAAATAGTCTACAGACAAAGTTTAGGACTAGATACAAATCTGAGTGTTTCATATCAGTGTAAGATATTCAACATTTTCATAAAATACTTTTACAACACCATGAACTTTTTATTTCTATAAATAAAAGTTTTCTCCCTCTCAGCTCATTCATACGCACAAGAAAAACGTCTCAAAAAAATATCAAGGTTTCTTCCAAGCCAACATTTACAGCTTTCATCAAAATATCTCTCTCATTCGACAGTCCCTGAGGTTAAAAAGAAAATTAAATCTCCTTTTTTAATTCAAGTTTTAATTTGATGCCAGTCTTACCAACCAGCCTTTACCTCACACAGCACTTTTAACATAGTATTTTTATTTCCCTAAATAGTTACTGTAAACTTACTTATTTTGGCAGAATCAAATTTTAGTGTAGTAGTATTTGAAACAATTAGTACAATGATGAATTTGTACATATGCAATAATTGGTATATGAAGAACATACAGAAATGGCAATTAGCACAATCATATTTCAATGAAATGCCTTTTATGTGAAAAGTGCTAAAATAAGATTACTCCAAAACTATGTATGTTTACAGTATCTTATACATATACACCATGTAAAATGTATCCTTTTCCATGCATTCCTATAAAAAATAAACATTTTATACATGTTTATGTACATTTCTATATACACATCACCACAGTAACATTAGGTGATTATCTACTTCTACTGCCCTGATCATTAAATTCCAAGTCTTCAATCAAAACCACAGAAGAGTTATAGGATAGGACAGACTTGTGGATTTCATGATTATCAACACATTCCATCACTTTAATTGTTAAAATCAATGAAACAATGGTAGAATTTGGGATTTAATGTGAAAGTATAGCTATAAAATTTAAAATCGCTGAATAAAACTGCCATTTGTAAAACAGTATGACGATCATATTGGTAATGGGATGTTCTAAAATGTTTGAATCTTTGAGCATCATGTTCATCAGATCACATTAGTTTGATTTTTCAATTCTAAAAAAAGCATTTTTAAATTTGCCTACAATAAACTGTGTAGACTAATCATTCACATACAATGACAATCTGCAATGCTTCACATATTTAAAAATCACATTTTTACATATTGTCTTCAAAGTGCAATACAACAAAAAAACACAGATTTAAACTTAAAAAGTGTGAGAATCACATGCACATAGAATGTTTAATGCAAAGATAATACTGACATTTTTTAAATCTTAATTTTGGCTAACTCTGTGATTAAGTGCCCTATGAATTTATTTAGGTATAGTATGGTTTCAAAAAACAACAAGTTTTCTTGATAAATGTCACATATATGTGATGGATCCTACCGCTCCACATTCTTCCCATTCACAGGAATGAGCTTATATAATCCCTTACTTATCAGATATTGCTTTTAAACTGAAACAAAATTCTGATAATGTAATGTTCCAACAGTGTCTCTACAGCAGTACTGGCTGCTGTGAAAATTACATGACAAACAGCAGAACACCGATCCCACTGCATTCATAGTACAATGTATTATGAATACTGCAGGACTTTGAGTCAGTAAATAAATATATTATATTAAAATGGTTATGTAAACATACATATTCATACACATTTTGTAAACGAAGGAATCTACCACCATTGAACAATTTCATTTGAAGAAAACTCTATAACAGTCAGTTCTGTATAACCCTTACAGAGGAATATAATCTGAAGGAAATATTTACAATTGTATATCATAAAAGGTAAATCCGATTTAACACATGACAAAATGATAAAGATGATAATTCCGTCAGTAAGAGTAAAAGGCGTGGAAGTCCAATAATAGACCTACATGTATGCCTCTGAATACTGCAAATATCTTAAAGAGTGTAAATATCACAGGGACATAACAAGAGAATTACTACTTCTTAAATGAAGTCCCTGTGATAATTCACAGAGTATCCTGCCATCTGTGGTGGATCACTAAATGATCACATCTATATTTTCAACCCGTTTTTTTTATTTCAACATCTGTTTTTAAAATTTTGTGGAATAAAACATTAAAAGAAAGAAAATAAGAAATTCAACTCACAACTGTTGAAGTGCACATAAAAAGGTCATTAATGACAAAAGCAAGGGAAATCACATACACCTATGTCTTGTTCTGTTGACAATATAATGTTGGTGATAATTGATTTTTACATTATATACAGTTAAATATATACAGCAGTTAATGTTACATAAAAAAATTACACTGTTTTATTGAGTAATTGGAAAAGGGAATGTAGAATTAACTAGTATTTCGATGTACTGTTAACTTAGCCAGGTAGTGTTAATTTTTGGGAAAATTTGGCATCTGATTCAGGAAAACATTTGTGGATCCCATCATTCAAGATAAATGTGAGTCAAAGAACATCTTTACCAAGACTTATATAAACAAGAGACCCATAGGGCCTGTATCACTCACCTGATAGAAATTGATTGATTTTAACTAAGGGAAAAGTATCTAAAACACTTGTATCTATTTACCCGTAATAGTCTTGACCCTCCTCCAAATGGGAATTAGATGTAGCTGTTTGTAAAAAAAAAGTTTTTTTTTTCCCCAAGAATATCTTTAGTTAAAACATTATAAATATTTTAAAGAATTTGCCGTGCTTCCAATATTTGGCCCACCCCTCTAACCCCAATGGACCAGAAATCGCTGTTCATACAAAATTGATCTACATTACCAAACAGGTCTTTCACCAAATGGTGACAGGATCCAAGCATTTCTACTTAAGAAGAATGATATTAAATAACATGTCTTCTTCCCTTGAAGGGCCCCACTACTCCCACCTAAAAAACTGATTCTTCTTCACCCAAGCATGCTTCAGGCCAACTGGAACATCATCTAGAGAAGGCAAAGGATTTTAAAGACTTTACCTTATTTCCTCTAGTGACCTTTCCCCACCCACCCTAAAGGACCTAAACTAAAACTTTATGCAAAACTCTCATCAAATAGAAATTTGCTCTATTTCTCCTATTGGGCCCTGCCCCTCTGGTTCCAGGGGACCGAGACCCATCGTTTATAAAAAATTGATTTCCCTTCACCAATGCTTCAGACCAAATTTGGACCATGTCCTGCAATTCATAAAGGAAAAGATAAATTTTCAAAAATTTGATAGATTTTCCTTATTGGGCCCTGCCCCTCTGGCCCCCACCCCCAACCCCCACTCCCCAAGATGCTTGGTTTATACAATGCTGATTTCTCTTCACCAAGTACGCTTCTGACCAAATTTGGACAATATCCTGCGATTCAGGAAGAACAAGTTAGATTTTAAAGAAATTAATAGATGTTCCCTATAGGGCCCCGCCCCTATGACCCCAGGACCCACCCTTTATACAAAATTGTTTCAGACCAAACATCATTAAAATCTGCTCAGTTGTTCATGACTAGCTGCAATTTATAGAAAAATTTGACAGAAGATGGATGCTCTTCGGATCAGGTGAGGTAATACGTTGTTTTACAACAATTATGAAACAGGTTTTATTAAATTTAATCACTGTTATCTATCTAGATGGATGATGCATGCAAGGGTCAGATGACAAAATACAAATGTACAAAGAAGGCATGAGGATGTCAAAAGAAAACTCACTAACTCCAAACATTCTCACATCCATTTAGTACAGCAAATTCTGAGACCTCTTGGTGAGAGGGATGTGCTTCATCACCACATGCACTAATCCAGATTCCCATTATTATACCCAATCTTACTTACATAACTTCCAGCACACTATTACTACAATACTATAGGCTTCCCATCTGGGGCCTGTTCAATAAGTATGTGGAAGATTTGTAAACTGTGGTTACAATCCCAACAAAATGAAAAACAACAATACTAATCAAGCATTAACTGTAGTGGAGCTTGTTACATAAATTTTAAGTCTCCCATATTTAGCAATCCATTAAAAAAATATCAGAATGATATCTTATATGTGAATTCCACTCATAACAAAATTAAAAACACCAGTTGTAATTACAAATTGAGGCTTACCACACAGAATAAGTATCAAATCGCGAGTGAATTTTGAAGGATACGTTGTATCAAGTAAAAGATAGCATCATTATTTAATTAACATAGCAAGACTTACATAACAAGAAAGAAGTTGACTACCAGACAAAATATAATCTGGAATGTTATATACTGACGTATAAAACTGAGAACTGAATTAAAAGATGGCAAGTCATCAGACTCGTTACAATTCACATAGTGAACAAACAAGGATTATACATAAAGCTTCATACTGGTAATTTTCTGGTTGTAAAACCATGTTTGTAAAAGGTCAAATTGTAATTCAGTCAGAAGACTGCATAACTTGTGGCTAAATTTAACAACCAAATAATCAGACACATAAATTCCCATGGGGAGCCACATATTTGACCCAGTGACACGAAGAAAAAATATACATCTTTTATTTCATTTAATTTGAAATTGTAAAATAATGTAGACAAAACAATTAAGAAGTTAATATTTAACAAAGTTCTGAGCCAAGTTGTTTGTTATCTTTCAGCGTGTTTTGGCAAAACACAAATGCCCATCATATACCATCTCAAAAAAGGTTAAATTTTTAAAAAATTGAACACATGAAATAACAAATTTATTGCAAATCTTAAGAAAAATTTAAATCAAGAAATTTGTGTCCATTACATCATTGAGTTCCACATAAACAAGGCTTTGCCTGCTCACATCTTGTTTTATATGACAAAGCATTAAGGCTATGTGAGCAGGACATGCATATCTAAAGCCATATTACCATCAATAATCAAATTAATAAAAATTCAAAAATACCGGTACCATAGTGTTTTGGGATTTATAGTGATCGTTACTTAAAGCATCACAAATGTGATGACAGGATGGCTTCATTCTTAAATTTTTTTGTTTTTTTTTGTTACACCATTTTTGCTTTCAGTTAACCATGAAGCAAATGGCTTGTGGTTAATTCCAAACGACATATATTTGATGATATACAAAATACAATGTAAATCTATTTGGAATGTAGCTCAAAAACTATTCAAAAAAGATTTTTTTCATTTAAAGAAAACACCAAACAAACAAATGACATACAGACAAATATTTGTTCATGTTATCAAAGAAAAATTAAGCAGTACTGCATTAACATGTCAACATTATCTTCCTGTTCAAATGTTACTCTTGAAAAACTAAGGCATTGACAACAGATTACTCTTCAAATGACTTGAAAAAAATATTAATTATGTAATTTTACTGAAATCACTATGATGTAATATTCTTGAAAATTCCCAGAGATTTTAATATAACTATCAGTATATCTTTTCATTCTGGATATCGTAACAGTTATGTTGATAATTAAATTCCTTTATAATTTCAGTAATTATAAATGCATCCATTACTTCTACTATCAGACGTCGTTCACTTGATGCCTTCAGGGAGGACCATGAGATTGGTCTGATATCTTCTGTTCTAATGGCTGAAGAAGTAGAAAATACATTTTTGTGTTTATCTATTCTAGTTGATGAGAACAATGAACTAGGATGGGTATTTCAGTGTCACACAGTCCCATGTGAAGTAGGCTCCACCTCAGGGGCATTGGACAGAGATGACATCTGTACACCTTCTCTTGAACTAGAACTGCTATTTTTTTTCTTCTTAGGTTTCTGGGAGCAGCAGGTATCAGGATGACAGGTCTTCTCCGGACCACACTCCAGTCTACAGCTTCGTATGTTCTCTTGGTTAACCTTAATCAAAAAGATTTTAAATGTAGCGCTAAATCAACAATTTTCATTTAATGTTTTGTTTGTTTGTTGTAAATGTTATTTTATTGCAGAATTCTACACTTATTTCTATTAATGATATGAAAATCAATTGTACTAATGATATGAAATATTGGTGCTGTATTTTAGTTACAGTAAGAACACTGACAGGCCAGCTAGGGAAACACTGTCTGTTCTTCTGTACATGTGTACACTGACCAGTCAGCTAGGGAAACACTGTCTGCCTGGCTGTACTTGTGTACACTGACCAGTCAGCTAGGGGAAACACTGTCTGCCTGGCTGTACTGGTATACAGTGACCAGTCAGCTAGGGAAACACTGTCTACCTGGCTGTACTTGTGTACACTGACAGGTCAGCTTGGTAAACACTGTCTATCTGGCTGTACTTGTGTACACTGAACGGTCAGCTAGGGAAACACTGTCTGTCTGGTTGTACTTGTGTACACTGACCAGTCAGCTAGGGAAACACTGTCTGCCTACTGTCTGCTTGGCTGTACTTGTGAACACTGACTGGTCAGCTAGGGAAACACTGTCTACCTGGCTGTACTTGTGAACACTTACCAGTCAGCTAGGGAAACACTGTCTGCCTGGCTGAACTGGTATACAGTGACCAGTCAGCTAGGGAAACACTGTCTGTTTGGCTGTACTTGTGTACACTGACACGTCAGCATGGTAAACACTGTCTGTCTGGTTGTACTTGTGTACACTGACAAGTCAGCTAGGGAAACACTGTCTGTTTGACTGTACTTGTGTACATTGACTGTCAGCTAGGGAAACACTGTCTGCCTGGCTGTACATGTGTACTCTGACCGTCAGCTAGGGAAACACTGTCTGTTTGACTGTACTTGTGTACACTGACCAGTCAGCTAGGGAAACACTGTCTGTTTGACTGTACTTGTGTACACTGACCAGTCCGCTAGGGAAACACTGTCTGTTTGACTGTACTTGTGTACACTGACCAGTCAGCTAGGGAATCACTGTCTGTTTGACTGTACTTGTGTACACTGACCAGTCAGCTAGGGAAACACTGTCTGTTTGACTGTACTTGTGTACACTGACCACTCAGCTAGGGAAACACTGTCTGTTTGACTGTACTTGTGTACACTGACCAGTCCGCTAGGGAAACACTGTCTGTTTGACTGTACTTGTGTACACTGACCAGTCCGCTGGGGAAACACTGTCTGTTTGACTGTACTTGTGTACACTGACCACTCAGCTAGGGAAACACTGTCTGTTTGACTGTACTTGCGTACACTGACCACTCAGCTAGGGAAACACTGTCTGTTTGACTGTACTTGTGTACACTGACCAGTCCGCTGGGGAAACACTGTCTGTTTGACTGTACTTGTGTACACTGACCACTCAGCTAGGGAAACACTGTCTGTTTGACTGTACTTGCGTACACTGACCACTCAGCTAGGGAAACACTGTCTGTTTGACTGTACTTGTGTACACTGACCAGTCCGCTAGGGAAACACTGTCTGTTTGACTGTACTTGTGTACACTGACCAGTCCGCTAGGGAAACACTGTCTGTCTGGCTGTACTTGTTAATCTCCTCTATAATCATCAATAGCAGCCATTTCAACCATAACATTATATTTCACTAAGTTTGATCTTCTTTAAATGCAATATTGTGTATTAGTGTATTATAGATGGACATAATGAACTGTATAGGGCAGATACAGTTAAATTTCTATGTTGGGTTCTAATAAAGTTAAATTAAAATTAAAATTATAATCTTCAATGACTCAACAGCCGCAGTATGCTACTGAAATCCATTAGGTCTATGAAATCTTACCTCCCCGAATTCAGGCTGTATTGTACAAGAATGGATCCCAACTGTATGTAACAAAGTTTTGACTTTTTGTGCCATGACCTCAAATTCCTCCACATTATCAGTATGCATTGATATGTGGACAGAGGCAATCAGCTTATTACCACTTAGCTGCCATACATGGAACTCATGCATTTCTGTGACGCCATCAATCTGTAACAGATACAAGAGGCCCAATGGGTCTACATCCTTCACCTTGTAGACAATTTTCATCAAAAATAGAGCCATTGTTCATCAAAAATACATAAACATACATAATTGAATATGGGTCAAGGTCATTTCTGTTTCTTTGTCAGACTTCATCCTAGGGACCTATAAGCTAGCTAAATGCACCATGCTTCTGCACCCTTCCATTAGTCAGAAGAAGTTGTTTTAATGTTTTACCAAATATGACATCTGTGACCTAGAATTGAGGGTTAAGGCTGTTTCTATTCACACAATTTGAAAGGCTTCATCCTAGGAACCTTATAGTTTAATACCATGCTTCTGTGCCTGTTGATTAATCAGAATAATTCATTTTAATGTTTTAAAAAAAATGTTAATCCTTGTAACCTTGGATAAGGGTAAAGGTCACACACACTTTGTTGGCCTTCTTCACAGCAACCCACAACCAAATGCCATGACATTTGATATGTTGCTTATTGAAAAGAAGTTTAAATGAAAAAGTTTATTCTGGACAGACAGACAATGGAAGACGGACGCCACATCACAGCATGGACTCAGTAAGGCCTTTGGGCCAGGCGAGCTAAAAATTGGGAACTGGAGAAAGAAAATTATTCAAGAGTGATTCTAGAAGTAAAATGGGCTCAGAGGAGGGTTTAAGGGATTCTACTAAAACCCCATGCTTTCTTTAAACAATGATGGTATAATACTGACATCAGTAAATCAATGCTCCTACCACCTAATGTTGTCAATATCACAACAATATCAAAATTAGAATAAACATCATCACCTTTGAATTGTGTAGTTTGATCTGAGAATAACTGTAAAAATGATAACTTTTTTAATGCAGTTGTATACAGTATGTATCAATGTCCTCCCACACTGTCAGCTTTCCATTAAGTTGACGTTCGGTTCTTTTCTTAAAATTATGATCAACATAGAATATTACTACGTCTGATTTCAAGAGTGAAATATTTGAGGCTCTTAACAACATATTACAAGACAAGTATAAACTGTGGTAAGTAGCTAAACACAGCAAAATCAAAGAGTTTTTAGTTTGTCAAAAAAGGACATGTGGTAATGATATGATAAAGCACCACTTCAGGTAAATTACCTTTCTGATTTTCTTCTCGATTTCCTCCAGTTGTATATGATCTGGCACAGCTTGTAGAAGTATATACCCCGATTCTTTCACTGAAACAGTAGAAAATTGACCAAAGTCTGATTCATTGCTAAACACAACATTTCAACATGAACCTTTCATTGTGTTTATATGATTATAGTAAGATTAACTGTTGCCAAATGATTTCCATGTCAGGATAGATCCTGCATGATCTTGAGAGTTAACAAAGAATTTACCTAAACCTGATATGGAATTGTTATTTGTATGTGATCCTTATTAGACTGAATCAATTTTATACACAGAAAATTGGATAGGTTGTTAGTAATTGCTGTAAAACTGAATATTGTTCACTCTAATCAAAATACGATCATCAATATACACTGTTATAAAGATCTGACAGTGGCCAGTAAGGGGCCACGTATAACATACATCAATATACACTGTTATAAAGATCTGACAGTGGCCAGTAAGGGGACACGTATAACATACATCAATATACACTGTTATAAAGATCTGACAGTGGCCAGTAAGGGGACACGTATAACATACATCAATATACACTGTTATAAAGATCTGACAGTGGCCAGTAAGGGGACATGTATAACATACATCAATATACACTGTTATAAAGATCTGACAGTGGCCAGTAAGGGGACACGTATAACATACATCAATATACACTGTTATAAAGATCTGACAGTGGCCAGTAAGGGGACACGTATAACATACATCAATATACACTGTTATAAAGATCTGACAGTGGCCAGTAAGGTTATAAAGATCTGACAGTGGCCAGTAAGGGGACACGTATAACATACATCAATATATAAAGATCTGACAGTGGCCAGTATAACATACATCAATATACACTGTTATAAAGATCTGACAGTGGCCAGTAAGGGGACACGTATAACATACATCAATATACACTGTTATAAAGATCTGAAAGTGGCCAGTAAGGGGACACGTATAACATACATCAATATACACTGTTATAAAGATCTGACAGTGGGCAGTAAGGGGACACGTATAACATACATCAATATACACTGTTATAAAGATCTGACAGTGGCCAGTAAGGGGACACGTATAACATACATCAATATACACTGTTATAAAGATCTGACAGTGGCCAGTAAGGGGACACGTATAACATACATCAATATACACTGTTATAAAGATCTGACAGTGGCCAGTAAGGGGACACGTATAACATACATCAATATACACTATATGTTATAAAGATCTGACAGTGGCCAGTAAGGGGCCACATACAACATACATCAATATACACTCTGTTATAAAGATCTGATAGTAGCTAGTCTGACATTGGCTGGTCAGACTGGCCAGTCTGATGGTAGCGGGTAAGGGACCAAGTTCTGGTGATCTTAATCTATCAATCACATATAATAGGATTTTCTAAGCAAATCAATACTTGGCTTTATTAGAGCTGTCGTCCTGAAGATAACTACTAAACCCTCTTAGATGCAAAAACCTCTAAATACCATATTTTATCATACTGCATGAAAAAAGTAAAAACAGCTGAAAATTGAATTTCAGATCCCCAATATTTCTATATACAAAATTATTTAAATTTTATCAAATAAGTGGCCACAATTTGTCTCAACATAGTTGTTGTGACATTAAACATATACAGTGATATTTGGCATTCCCAAAGCCCCTATTAAACCAAATTTTGTCAAAATCAGGCAATATTTTAATTTCAACCAATCAGGCTACCATTTGTCATAGTATGGTTGTCATGGCATCATTTTATATATATTATCTAATTTTTTACCTATCAGAGGTCAGGATAATGTTGCCATAGTAACAATTTCTAAAACATGTAATATAACCTACTATAGGTTTTACTAGATATACCATTTGACCATGGGTCAAATAATGAAATCTATTGAATGACCAAAGTGTAACCAGTATTTCATGTTAAAATGTATTGTAAAGAGAATGTGTGAACCAAATTTTAAGTCAGTTGGATGTTCAGAAAATGGCTATTTCTCAAAATGCAAAACCATACAAAATTGTGTTCATTTTCATATAAAAGGGAGATAACTCTCTGTTAAGGGGAGGAAATGTAAAATCACTTCCTGGGGCCGTATTCATGAAACCATTTTCATGCTCAAGCATAGTTTTTTTTTTCTCAAGCAAACTTTTTTATAATTCGTCTAAATCATATGATATAATACAAATGTCAAATATAAACATTGAATATAACTTTAACTTTAAGTCCTTTCAATTTTTTTTGAAATCTTTGGCAAAATCAGTATTATTTATTAATTTTTAACTTAAACAAGACATAACGGTTGAGCACAAAATCCTTGTTTGAGCATGAGAACGGTTTCATGAAATATGGGCCCAGCATACATCATCATATTGTATAGCCATTCCTACTAAATTTTAAAAAGATTTGTTGTAAATCTGGTGGGTAGAGGGAAAAATATCCTCTAAAAAGGGGTAAAAATACATCACTTGAGGAGGCATATCTCTGTATTGAACATGTACTGACCATTCCCACAAAATTTTGAAACATTTTTAAACTGTGCAAATGCATGTAAACAGCCAGACAAAGTTTATCTATGGACAGGCAGACAATACCAGTATACCCCTTCCCCAACCACTATCTAAGTTCCTTGCTGGGGTATAATAAGTCAATTCAAATTTCTGTTCTTTTCTTTCAGAGGTTATTTCAGTACCAACAATTGAGAAAACACATTTTCATCCAACGAACACACTCTTTTGAGTGTGTGTTGTGTGTGCAACCATCTTAGTATGACTGAGATTCAAGATACTCGAATATCATCAATGGAAGTACAACCAACACATGATAAGTGCCAAAATGTAACACACTTTGGCAAAACTTTGCCAGTTGCATACAGATTGCTTGGTTGAAAGGTCATCTGAACATGACCCTTTTCCGGCCACATCTACATCATGTACTGTAATAATGATGATATGTAATTTAATCAAATTAATTTTTGTTTAATTTTAAGGGCCAGGCTTCATCGAAGGACTTCATCGACAATAACTTCCAATATTGCCATGCAATTGAAAGGGTTTTGGCCACAATTTTTCTTTATGCTATATTTTAGCCTAAAATGGTGCAATAATGTATACAGGCCATTGTATCCTGTCACTCTCTGCACACTGGTGACTGAAAGCTGGCCACGTCCCCTTTAGTTTAGTCTCATATTTTGATTTCAAAACAAGGTCATGTGATGCATGAAATCAGTGTTATTTCAGCAACAACGATACTCTATTCACCTACTATGCCACTACTACACAGGTCATGCCTAAATTCATTTACAAACATCCAAAATCATTTCAATTTAAAACTAACCTTTGTACATAGTGTATTGTTTACATAATGATGTATGACAGTAAAAAATAAAGTGAGTTTTTTTCAATTCTATTTGTTCTATTTTTTTAAAAAAATTTTCTTCTATTTATTTTGAAAGGAATGCAACAACCGTACATGGCTATATACAGTTATCTAAGTGAACAACCTTGTTCAAGATATTCATAGCCTATAATTAAATACATTTCATTGTTAACTTTAACTAATTCTTTTTTCATGATATGAAATTTGGTAACAGCAATTTCATGAAAATTCCAGTATTGTTACAGAATGTACGTTATTGTGTTTCAGCTTTCCACACTTTGATAAACACCTATTAACAACACCTCAGAAGCAAAGTCAGGACAATCTAAAGAACCAGAAATCCTGTAGAAAATACCGGACTTTGGTCATATTTTAATATATGTCTTATAACTTCAGTGATGGTAAAAAGAGATAATTAGAGATGTCTCTGTCTTAACAAACCCTTCCAGATAAACAATAATGAAACTGATAGAAGATTACAACTTGCAATACAGTTTAGCCTTTGTGCGTGTTGAACCATACTATACCATTTCTAAAATAATATCAAGGTTATTATATTAGTAAAATCTTGTATTTTGTATATCGTCATTATGCCCAAAGGCTATAGGCAGATTACATGTTGCCTTAGGTAATTATGTCAAGTAACCAGGTATAAAAGATATCAATATTATATCATTAATCTTATATATGTTCGACAAGTTAGACATGTTCAGTATGACTACCTTGATCATTCATCATTTTATGGATCACTCATCCTTGTTAGAAATGGTATATAAACCCTTCCTGTATCTTAATACTGAGTCGGTCTCCGGATACATACCCTCTGTTGCGTATCTCAACACATACACCAATAAAAAATTACACTACACTTGTGGACTTTCCTTTCATATTTCAAAAGTGTAATTAACTACAGGTGTCAAATAGTTGTTTGACTCTTTTAAGGACCTGTTGTTATCACAATGTAAACAAAATGGAACGTGTTCAGGGACCACTGTTTTGACATGTGAAAAATAAAGTGTTTTTTTTCCAATTTTATTTCAATTTATTTTGAAAGGAATGCAACAAGCGGACATGGCTATATACAGTTATCTAAGTGAACGACCTTGTTCAAGATATTCATAGCCTATAATTAAATACATTTCATTGTTAACTTTAACTAATTCTTTTTTCATGATATGAAATTTGGTACGTTATTGTGTTTCAGCTTTCCACACTTGGATAAACACCTATTAACAATACCTTAGAAGCAAAGTGAGAACAATCTACAGAACCAGAAATCCTGTAGAAAATACCGGACTTTGGTCATATTTTAATATATGTCTTATAACTTCAGTGATGGTGAAAAGAGATAATTAGAGATGTCTCTGTCTTAACAAACCCTTCTTGGATAACCACACAATTCTCTTGTTTACTTTACGATTGTTGACACATGTATACATGACTGGACTGAACACATATGTAATGTCTACATTTGTTAATACTTCTGTCACAAAATAATTTTATATCTGCGAAATTGACGAGCCTAAATCAAGAAAAATCTTGAACGCCTGAGTGTATAATCACATTCCATGTTACATATCAAAAGTTATTTCATAACAGTAACAGCAGTTCTCATCTTGATGATCTATTAATAGATAAACATAGATGTATAATTGTATATTGCTGTCTCACAATCCTTTGATTTGGATTTTTCACTAAGACGACTTAATATAAACAGTTTTGTTTCCTGAAGTTTTTGTATGTAGATATATAGTCTTTTGTTCAAGTAGAATATATCACTTTCGGTCACGGGTATCTCAGAAAAACAGGATCTTATGAGAAGTATTTGCCTTCTACACTACTATTTACATATTAGACACGGTCAGTCTAAGTAACACTTTGACGTCACATGTACCTTATGACAGGTCACCTTATCAAAATTTCTCACTCATGCCTAACAAATACTTTTGATTATCTAAAAACAGACATCGAGATATATTTGACTGTGCCAGCTGTAGTGCTATTTAGATTGTGATAGGAGAATTAACAAAAATTGAAATTGTGACGACAGCCCTTCAATATCATTGTAAGGTAATATCAAATTAAAAGTGAAAGTAACCTTGGTCCCCGATTACAAATCTCTGAGTAGTACACATACAAATTAGTAAGGAACAGTAGGAGACAGAAATGTCAAAAGTGCTTTACTTACGTAATGGTATGGTTGTGAAAAGGATGATTATGACCATGACGACACTGTAAGTATTAAACATAAATCATTTTAGACATATCATCACATCATGGAGCTTCAGAACAATTTGGACTAAAAAGACACAATCAATTTTTTGTTAATGGATTCTGATACATTTTATTTTCTTATTAATCTCAATCTCCAATTTTATACATATGGCTATAACCAATTTTTTTAAAGTTCAATATCTATATGCTGGTCACCTGGAAAAACTTAATTGACCATAACCAAATCACAGCTTGTATAGTATCATACCAAATTACATTTTTGTATTGATCCATTAAAAGTAAATGAGTGAAAATGAATTTATGACAGAATGTTGAAATGAAGGGTAATACATGATGTCCCTGACCACTATTTCTATCATTAAAAAATTGACAAAACCAGGCAGGACAAAAAATTCTTGTGATACGTCCAAAAAGAATTGGTTCCACCTCATTACATCTTTCTTTATATGAAAATAATAACATCAGTTATCATTATCTATTACTGATGAACATGTATCTATCTTCACATGTAAAATAATCCTGAACCTAAGACTTACCACAAAACTTTTCTGCCTTTTTAAGCTTCTTCTACCTGAAAAGCCAAAGAGGGTAGAAACGCCTTGCTGACTAAGTGTTTAAGTTGTTTTATTTCACATGTTTATAAGTGTTTGTGAACCAGGTGAAATCACTAACCTCATAGCAGGGTCCACATAATACTTCCATTCAGCCTCCACAAACCAGATGACCAGTCCAGACACCACTACAACCACTGAACCTAATGCGTCTCCCAGCACGTGTAGAAACACACCTCTCATATTCAACTGAGCACTCGATGGACCAGCTACACAAAATATATAAGAAAAGATCTGTGAGGTCACTTTATCAAAGGGCATAAAAATTAAATATAAAACTTAGAGCTGTTTTAAGTTAAGTCACTGATTTTCATGATCATTCACAACACATTTTGATACATAAAAAAGAGACAATCAAAATGTGCCAACAGAGCACTCCTGTGAGTCAACGGTGAGTTGATTTACCAGAAACTAAATATGGTAGAATGGTAGAAGTACGCTAAGAAGTGATAAAGGGGCGTCTGTGGGTCATTGAACATCAACAGAACATTAGATAGGCTAAAATGTCATACAAACGAATTGGCACCTTTAACACTAACAAGACACTAGCTTTGTCTCTTACAGTGACCAATAAACATAACCCAATATTAAACACCAGCTCTCACCATTGCCATTCTCTATAGACACAATAGACATGTTAGATATATGACTATTGTGTGGTACACCAGGTTCAACAGCATCCCCATTAGGTGTAGAGTCTCCATCCTTCTTTACAAGAGATTCTTCTTCTCGTTGTTTGCTCTTTCCATGTGAGTGACCATGTCTTCCTCCTCCACCTCCGTGTGAGTGACCTATGAAACAAGACACAGTATGTTTGGTTTATCAGTCATTAAGAAGAATTGTTGAAACAATCACAGTGTTCATATCTAAAAGCCAGTTGTCTGTGAAAAGAGACTATTATTCATTAAACTAATTTTTTTTCAACATTTTGACAGTTAATATCACAACAAAAGAATGTGTTTTGAATATCGGTAAGAAAAAAAAATAAAGTTTCTTCACAAAAGGATGCTTCAGATCAAATTTGGGCAAAATTGAATTATTCCAACAGAAGAAGGATTTTTTTTAAAAATTACTGCATTTCCACTATTAGGCCAAACCCTCCCCATCCCCAAGGGGCTAAAACTCACTTTCTTTCCTACATGTGGAGTAGGATTGGGCAAAGATCCAACGTTTACACAAATTGATTGCTCTTTACCAAGGCATGCTTCAGACATAATTTTTGCAACATCAAATCAAACTACAGGAGGGATAGAATTTAAACAAACTTGCCAAATTTCCCCTGTTTGGCCAGCTTCCTCATGCCCCTAGACCCACTGCTTGTATAAAATTTATTCCCCTTCACCCAAGGATGGTTATGACCAAATTTTTGTCAAAATCTGCATGGTTGTTTATGACTAGTGCGATTCATAGGAAAAGTTGACAGACGTTGGACGTTGCAGTATGGCATAAGCTACTGGTCCTACAAACTAGGTGAGCTAAAAACATGTCAGTATATATATCAGATAGATATCATACCATGGTCATGGAAGAGCACCAATCCAATTAAATTTACAAGTAAGCCCACTCCACCAACGATGAGCATCAATTTCGGATCATCTATCTTTTCTACATCCACCAAACGTTTGAGTGCCTCGACAAGGATGGAGAAGCACAGAGCAATCAGAAACACTGCATTAATTAAAGCACCTAAAACCTCAGCTCTAACCCAACCATATGTGTTCCTCTCTGTTGTCCACTTGGAAATCTGAAACAAAAAATTAATATTGAGTAACTTCAAATTTCCTCAGTCAGATTCAGGCAACAGTTGAGAGAATGTATAATTATTTATGTGTCTACTGCAGTGCTAATATGCTTATTTCAGACATGTAATACAACTATGAATGCCCTTCTTGGACGCCTTTAATGGAATTACAAATTAATACACTCACTAGTGAAATAGTTTTTGGGATTCAGTTACAAGCATCACGTGTCTAATTGATAATATTGTCATCAATCGACCTTCTTAATTGGTTTAGTTAAATCATGAATGCTTTAAAAGAAATATAACATAAATACTTACACGAACTGCTGCAAATCCAACTATAAGTGAAACTACATCTGAAAGCATGTGGAAGGAGTCGGCAACTAGAGCGATGGAATTGGTGACGTAGCCAACAATGATTTCCACCAAGAAGAAGGAAGCTGTCATTGATAACATGGTCAACAGACGACAAGTCTTTCCTGAGTAGCGACCCATTCTCTAGAAAATAACATCAAGTCTGAAGGGTTAAGCATTAGTTTAATGACATACATTTGTACTGCTGTATTCCATCCTAAAACCGATATCATTACAAAAACAGGAGTGTTTGGTTAAAATGCATTTCTTTATCTCGCAGAAATTCCTTGTCAGGCCAATTGATTACTGCAAGATAATAAGTTGATTGCTACTAGCTTTGTTTACTTTATATATGAAGCCCAAAACAAATGTGTCTAATATTTATCCATCAAATAAATAAAAAAAAAAACAAAGAAAATCTTATGTAAGCTTATTAACAAGTTGCAAACTTTTGATGATAAATTATCAAAACCTTTTACATGTATGTAAATACTAGGTTTCTAAACCTGATCAAATTTTACATACTGGTAACTCAAAAATCTTCCTCACTGGTCATAAATAACCAATTGACATTGTAACTAACACTAAGCTACACATACTGTATATTTTTCCTCATATAACAGTATTGATAATTTCAAATAATATCAAACTCTTGATACAGCAGTGTGCTAACAGACAAGATGTTTTCAGAAATTAATGTCTGCAGTGTGATAATCCACAACTCTACCAACTGCACTAAAGGAGCATGCATATGCATCCTCAGTTGAGTGACAGAGTCCTTATTTAACCACATATACAAGCCACATTGACTCGCTCCTTTCACAAAACAAAGAAATCTTTCAACAAGTATGGAATCTATGATTAGAAAACACTCATATGACATAAGAGGCTGCTATTTGTCTTATTTAATATTTGATATTGTGTTGACTGTAACACTGCATCTGTCAAAAGTTTTTCTCCATGTAAATAAACTTTGATTGTGGTAGCAACATCTTGTCAACCTAAATAGAGTACAAAGACAGATCTTTTTAGAAATAAGAATACACTTGCTAAATACAGGACCCCCACTAATGAGAAATTTGGTCTATACTCTGTAATATAATTGGGGTATTTACCAAAATGAAGTTGAATTTACCGAAATGGAGGGAAATTAGATTAGTATAAATCATATTTTAAGAGAATGGACCTAGAATCGTGTTCTTTACTGACCTGTTGGTTAGAATGTCAAAAAGAATGGGTTAATTCCACTTAGAAACAATTTTATTCGTTATTTTTTAACAATACATGCTCACGGGCGGACTGTCGCCCGACCTGAATTACCGAAATGATGGAAAACAGACGTTAAATCAACATTCTTTCCGGAGAATTGACTTATCATAGATTTAACGTTAACATCAGTAAATACTACATAAAACGGACCGTCTGCAAATGGGGTTTCTCGTTACCACTTCACAAAATCAGCTATGTACGTGACGGGGGCAAATCATAGCCCTTTCAAATATTCTCTTTTTCTTGTTCTGGGTATAGCTGGGGTGGGTTTTTTTCTGATCAGCTGATCCAGATTTCAGCATGGATGCGTACTTAATCATAAAATGAGTTTACAAAGATCAAAATTACTCACATTAGTCCTATTTCAGCAATCTCAACTAGGTAATGATGCTGATGCAGTCCGTCATTCATAAATTTATCAAATGGTATGCAGTTTTGCACTCATTCCAACGTGTTCACACTACCCGTAAATTTTGTTTGCCTTCTAATTGAGAAAGCGACTTCCGCTGTCGCTGTCTAATAGACTCTTGTTTGAGGAACCGATCGCAAATGTTTTTGTAGCTGCGTTGATTAAATGACCAAATTTACTATAAACAATTTACTAAATTTCACTATCACATACTTTATTTAGGATAAGTCTCAACACGGTCCGGTGGTCAAGACACAACAGAGCGATGCACCGGAAGGGCTAAAGACCCATCAATGTATCAGAGATGCTTGATTCGGGATCGTTTAGAAAACAAAAACTATTAAAGGGATCGTATCAAAAATCCTTCGTTATCACAAGTGAAGTCATGAGTCAGCCTATCGATGGTCTGGCTGTAGTACGGCGAGAAGTGCAAGTTAAAAGGGCAAACGGCCCTGACCCATATATAGTGTTTCACGTCAGCTGAGAGGCCGCTGAAAGGCCGAAAGATCATAATATTGGACGTAGAATCCGTCATTTAAATAAATATGTAGTGTTTCATGATGTCATGACTATTCTTATAAAATACCACATTGAGATGTTGTTAATTTTGAATTTAAGATGTTAGGCCTACAAAACATTGTTTGGGCTACCGTAGCTTGTTAATTTGAAATAGGCATTGTCTAAAAGCGAACGCAAGTTGGTCAACAAGATGCAAATTTTGAACTGGCTTATCCATGTCTGCATTGAAGCGTGTTTTAGATTGTAACAAAACATCGGCACATACACGTGTACCAATGTAACATCACCATCACCATGTTTGATCATAGCCGTCCGGTGTTCGATTCCCAGAAGGGATACGGGTTTCCTCCAACAGAAAGACCCCTCGCATGCTTATACAAAGGTGATTTTTATAACTTGAAATAATACAGTTTTCCTATACAAAGTAGTCATGCACATACAATCATACGATATGAAGACAGACAAGAACAACAAAACACAAGACCAAGATAATACAAAGCGTCTTATTATCCCCGCCCCCACACGCTGTTTAAAAGACAGACACACAATCATACATATACTAGCTTGATGCCTGTACAAAGTATTGAAATGGAGAACTTCTACTAGAGTACTATCTTGATGCCTGTACAAAGTATTGAAATGGAGAACTTCTACTAGAGTACCAGCTTGATGCCTGTACAAAGTATTGAAATGGAGAACTTCTACAAGAGTACCAGCTTGATGCCTGTACAAAGTATTGAAATGGAGAACTTCTACTAGAGTACCAGCTTGATGCCTGTACAAAGTATTGAAATGGAGAACTTCTACTAGAGTGCCAGCTTGATGCCTGTACAAAGTATTGAAATGGAGAACTTCTACAAGAGTACCAGCTTGATGCCTGTACAAAGTATTGAAATGGAGAACTTCTACTAGAGTACCAGCTTGATGCCTGTACAAAGTATTGAAATGGAGAACTTCTACTAGAGTACCAGCTTGATGCCTGTACAAAGTATTGAAATGGAGAACTTCTACTAGAGTGCCAGCTTGATGCCTGTACAAAGTGTCGAAATGGAGAACTCTACTAGAGTACCAGCTTGATGCCTGTACAAAGTATTGAAATGGAGAACTTCTACAAGAGTATCAACTTGATGCCTGTACAAAGTATTGAAATGGAGAACTTTTACTAGAGTACTAGCTTGATGCCTGTACAAAGTATTGAAATGGAGACCTTCTAGTGGAGTGCTAGTTTCATGCCAGAGCAAAGTCTGCAGTAACGGGTAATTACCCTGAACGGTTTGAGAGAACTGGTCTAAAAAACTGAATTTTGTGATTTGGTCTATCTTTTTCCATGGTAATAGAAAAAAAGTATTTAAATGGCGAACTTCCACATAGAAAAATATACTACTAGCTTAATAAATGTGAAAAGTTTTGAGCAAATATCTTGAAAGGTTTCTGAGCATTGGGCCAGAAACACTGAAATTTGTGACGAGGGTTAGCTGTTTTTAAGGTCACAGAAAATGTATTAATAAAGTCTTTGACAACATATCTAAACTATAAAGATTGTTAAAAAAATATTCAAAAAAATGTACAAGAGTCTCCCTTTCAGAGTTACAAAGATTGCAGAGAGGACTACCTATCACCTTTGCTTTAAAAAAGAAATGAGTTTGTAGTCAAGATATGATGAAAGACAATATAGTTTTAGTCGGATTTGTAAAGGTGGTGCTTCTATGTTTAACCATTTTTCATTATTAAAATCTGAATTTTCATTCCACCGTTTTTCTTTTCTCTTTGCTATTGAGAGTTTTCGTTCTGTTCATTAACAAATCATAAAATGCTTCAGAACCTTCAGTTTCTTAAGCAATTTTGACTTGTCTTGGTAGAAAAAAGAGGGCAAAGTTGCAAACACTGCTGAGACAACCAATATAATTATATATATATATATATATATATATATATATTTAAATAAATTTGTCATGAAAAATTCTTATTAGAGTCACCAGTATTACATAAACCGCCTTTTTTCTGAAAGAAAAAAATCATCACTAATAGTTATATTATCATTGTGCCTTATCAGTGTTCACTGAGAAATTTCTAAACATTCAAATACTTTATCATAATTGTAATTTTTCAATTTATTTGTCGTATGCGTTTCAAACCATTAAATGATATGTTTGTTAAATTCATTTGAATTATTTTAGACTTTTAATATGATTTCATCTCCACATGAAAGCTTGAAAAGATAATTTGTATATCAAACTTATTTTTAATCCATTCAACGGGTCGGCAGTTCTCATTGCGTGCTGCGGTAAGTGTATTGTGGGTATTAAGTTACAGCCACACTTCCGTTTAAAGATGATCGCATGGGCAGTTTGTTGGAGTTGAATTACCACATATGATAGCATAAAGCGCTCGCTATAAGTTAATATGAATCATAAATATATGAATCACCTACTAAATATAGATCTATATCTAAATCGGCGTGAATGGATTTATAAACTTCGGAAATTCAGCATTTACTCTAAATCTGAAAAGAATAAAATAATTCTGAAATGGTACATAAAAAGCATTGTCATGCATATTGTGTGTTATGTATGTTTGAATATGTTGTTTATTCGAACGGAGTACCTCAATAATACATGTACCGCCATTTATGTGATTGATCTGAGTTAAGTTTATAAAAAAGGCCGTGATAGTATGTAGTATAAACAATCACTGCCCTTCGTATAGGGACTCCTCGCACTATCTTTGCACTCATGATCAGCCAAGCTTGACAAAAGGCCTAAGAATTAAGTACTTAGCAGAGGCGTCCTTTACTGTCGGATGTAACTGAGTGTGTTCGTTAGGGTCGTGACACAAGGCAACATTTTCAACATACCAAGGACGAACAATACTGACTGTATTATACGTCCCTGAATATACCCCATACACGAAGAAAAATACTGCAATCATTACACGTCTGAAACCAAATTAACAGCATTTTTATATTCTTCCTACTACGTTTTTACCTAATTAAACAATTAATTATATTTTTTCTTCAAAATAAATTGTTAATAAAAGCCTTCTTGGCGCCTTCCCATAACGTTGGTCAGCTACACGCTAACATCAGAACGACTGGTGTCCATGGGTCCACCAACATCACTCTCTATATATACCCATACAGTAATAGAAAAAAAGAACACTTCATAAAACCTCTGGACATCAAGTTGCTATACTTGTCCGCTAAAAGACCGAAAGGCCATAGTAGCAGTCGTAAAACCCGTTAGATAAGTACATAGATAAATAAGTTACTCTTGTGATGTGCAACTGGCGCAGCATGTTCTGCACTGCGATGGGTGCTACAGAATAATGACAAGGGGCGTAACTCCCGAGAAGGAAAAACTTCACATAACGTTTTCAATTATTGGTCGCAGATGTTGATACCACATAAATTACAGGATAATAGATTTATACGTTGACGACGACGACGATAGCGATGATGACGTTGATTTATTTATACATACATTAGTACAATAGGTCCGAAAGGTTCCATTAAAAACCTCTACCGCCCACGTGTTCCTTCAGAAAGCTTTTATACTGATGTCCAGGACACAGGATGACGAAGCTGTAAGTAGTTGACATGTAGTTGGTACTATATATATCTTTATAGCGTAAAGTGTTTTCTCATCGATCATGATAATAAACGCCAACATATACAACATGTCGTAATAATTTGATTGAATCAACAAAGAGTTATTTATCTTATAATATTTGCTCGATTTAAGGTGTTCCAGAAGTTGAGAGATGCCGGGGTCTGGCATCCATTCAGGAATTAGTCGGGTAAGTTTCACGATGTATAGGGTTATGAGGACAAACGTTCCTTAAATTGTAACTTATTTTTTAAAATTAATGTATTGGGAAACTAAGATTTTTTCACGATGAGTTTTATTATCAAATAAATTGACTATTGCAACGGAAGGGAAGTGTATCTGTATAATTGTTATAACAGCCTGTTTTACAGCGATCCAAACGGAGCTGAAGCCGGGATGTTCCTTCCTACTGGGCCGAGGCAGGCCTTCGTAAGCTCGGCAACCTGGGATTGAAGCCGTCTCACGACAGACGAGAAAGTAATAATGAGATTATATATAATTGTAGAATAGATTATGAACGATTAAACGTTGAAATTGTGACGAAATGAGAAATGAATGATAAATGTTTTATCTTGTGTTAACATTCTATATTTCTATTTCTAGGTGTCCACCAGTCCCTGAAACAACTTCTAGCACTGCATTTTCTTCATCCAGCATACAGTTTGTCAGCGAGGACCACCGGAACAGAGCTCCGAGATCTCGTTGGTTACGTCAACACCCGGTGGATTCAGAGCAGAGTAAGGACTCCGACGAACTGGTGTATGCATCGTCAGCCTGCGAGGACAACGATGTTGATGATATGATGATTGATACATGAAAAGAATTATCATTGTGTACAGGATACCTACCATATTGTCCGATTATGGTTTTTGTTGCTCTTTTTTAATAGTTCTGTTC